TAGTACTAAATGGTTTTACGTGGAAAAGACTTTTCGTTCAACACTGGCACGATCCTATCCCGGAGGTCGCTCACATCTTTAGAAAAACACAGATTGTAGACCGGGATCAGGTGTTCTGTGACTGTGACCGGCAATCTTTCCTGGCGAGAGGTTTACCTACAGTGCGAATGAAAAATCTCGAATTTTTCAAAATACAGTATCATACTTTTTTAGCGTATGTGGTTTTAGAATTTCATGTTCATTCCAAATTTAGCAAAAAAACTCAAAAACAAAAGACGATCATTGAGCGACAGTTACAGTAAAATACATCTCATTTAAGATAAAAATTGGTGTGTGTGAGGGCATTATACTATGCGATCAAAATAGAGTTGCTGTGGAGTCATAGGCGAAATGCGCCATCCATAAGGTGGTTTCAGTGGCTTGCGTCCACTTTGGTTTTCCCCTCTTTCCTATCAAAAAATGTCCGTCTTGAGGGAAGAAATTGATAACTTCTTTAGTAATTGACCTATACCGAGACAAATTGAATCGAATATAACAGGCGAAATGGACCATCCATAAGGTGGTTACAGTGGCCTCTGTTCACTTTAGTTTTTCCGTGGCAAGTAGAAAACCGCTTCCCTATCAAAAATGCACGTCCCAGAGAAAAATTGATAACTTCTTTACTTATTAATCGATATCGATGGAAATTTATTCCAATACAACATACGAAATGGTCTATCCGAAACGGTATTTCAATGACTTGTGTCGCCACCAGTTGTGGCAAGTGGAAAACCGCTTCCCTATAAAAAAAAATGCCCGTCTGGAGGGAAAAAAATTGATATAACTTTTTAATTTATTGACCTATACCGAGGCAAATTGAATGGAATATAACAGGCGAAATGGTGGTTACAGTGGCCTATTAAGCTCTACTTTGGTGCATTATTGACTGGGTTTTTGGTTTTCTTTTGAATGTCTTCATTCAACGTTAATATTTTAGGAAACCACAAATGTATCACTCGGCAATAGGAGGAGGTTATCCTGAGCCACGGTGTTTCTGTGGAAACAAATGCCCATATAAATTTCCAGTTATATCAAAAGAATCTTATCCCGAACCTCGCTGTTACTATGAAACTGAACTAGAAAATGGTGTAAGTGTCTAATAAGCAAAATCCTGTTGGCGCTCAAATTCGTGTCATTTTTAGTTCAAAAGCACACTAAATCCTTATGCCAAGGAATTTGTACCGACTGTTTGGCGTACGCATCAACCTATAAAACCACGCGTTGGGATCCGCTATTTCTTTAATTCTCCATTCCACATGACGGAGGGCGACTTAACGAGAAGACGCGGTCTGACATTTGACTTGCCCCAAGCGCAAGACGTAAGTTTGCAGATCAGTGCAAAAAAATATTTTTTCCGTTACAGATCGAAGAATATTTTGGCGATGGTACTGTCGTACTGCTGGCCAATCAAAATTATGAACAATTCGTTAACGAGCAGTATAATATGGGTCACATTGTTGAATTATACAATGTTAATAATGAGGACATACGTAATTACATCGAACTAGGATATATGAACCGACCACAATACATCAAGTGGTGTGATGAGCATACCGCACTGCTCATATTTGGCTCAAAATCTGATGGTAAACAGAATGTTTGGGTATGGTAACACTTTAAACTTATGTTTTCAGCTGAGGAAGTAGTGAGAGGAATGCAAATGAGGGCTAGAACTCTTGAAGACGGCAGCCCTCTTGCAATTATAGCTGCATACTTTAATGATTTCTCGCCTGGTTATTAGAGTAAGATTTAACACTCTACAGTGTGTGCGTTTGTGATTTTTGATTTAGTACATAGTTTAATTTAATATTTTAATGGACGGCAGCGTGTAACAGGTACATATGGCAAAAAAATTCGGCGATCAAAATTATATATTGGCAATATGTAAATTTCTTCCGTTTTGTATCTACTCTGCTAAAAAGAATGAAGTGGCAATACCTCCCTTATTTTTCTGTATTTGCAGAGAATATTTGTATTGCTCTCCTTTGCCGCCCAATTTTTTTGACAGAATTACCTGATACATCCTGCATAATAGAATGTATGTTTTGTTGTTCTTTGTAAGATTTAGTGTATAAGGGTTGTTTCTATTAGAACGGTGCCACCTAATGTTGAATATAATGACTACAAGTGATTTTGATAAATATTTGTAAAGTATTTGAATATAGAAAATATGTTCCTCCCCCAAAAAATCGTCTATGCTATTCAGTATCCTTATCTGCCCAAACCAGACTAACTGCATCTTAGTACCGAGCAAGTGATGATAGCAAGTGACATTTTCCTGTTCAAATATTGTTATTGTTGTTATTGTTATTATTCCTCTTTTGTTTTGGGCCCTCAACAGGCATGCGCCCAATTACAGAGTGACCCGCATAATGCTATTTAGAGGTGCCTCTTCAGAAGGTCTTAAGTTGGTCTATACTACTCCGGTATTTACCTTACGAATTAGGAAAACTGCAGGAAAACCTAATTCGGAGTAGCCGGTAGAATGCTCGGAACTGGTCTAAGGTAATTTCCTACTCCGCTACAGATGAAAAATTCACCTCAACCCAGGTTCGAACACCCGACCTCCGGATTTATAACCCAATGCTCTACCACTGAGCCATAAATCCGACAAAAAAAGAGTACTAATGAAGCAACAAACAATCAGACGATACAATATTGAAATATATAGATACAATGGTACATTTTAGGGGAAATAAAAATTTCATCTCTTCCTGGGGCGTAAAGATAAATCAATGTACCGTGTGTCATATTTTGGTTGAGACTGCAGGGTATCTCAGCTGTTTTTAGAGATACTTAGAGACTTGCCGTTTTCGAGACCCTGCGCCACTTTTTTTTGTGAAACTTAATACCACAATCTAGGGACCTAAAAATCCAATATGACGTCCATAAAAAATAAACAAGTTGTTGTGATTTACTCGGAACCCACAAGTCATAAAAATTTCATGTTAGCACCATCAGAAAGCTGAGAAAAAATTACAAGGGGTTTGTTAAAACCTGTTTTTTATATAATTGAAAATAAATGAACGCTAGCCCATTTTCGAAAATGACATTTTTCGGTTTTTTGGCCATAACTTCGCCCATTTAAGCAACGTTGTATATCTAATGGTTTAAGAGATGAAAATTAAAAAAAAGTTCACCCTGTACATTATACTGTATCATATTTTTCAAAAATGGCATTTCTACCGTCAGCCATTTTGTTGATTGGTATCGGTTGCCTTAGTTACCATGGATAGGTACAATAAACACAACAGAATCTCCATGAATCCATGGCCTACTATTTAAAAACAGTAAAAAACACGGTTTTTATTTTTGGTTCATGGCTAAAATATAGGGTGTGATACATCAATGTAATGAGGAAAAATATTGACGTTAAGATATACCGAGTGTTGCACTTAAAAAATGCCACCATTGGAACTACTCTCAGAAACGGTGTTCCAAAATTTTTTTACTACGCCACTGGATTCTACGTAAAAAATCTAAAATATGCAGTTTTCGTTTTCACCCTGTATCTCAGAAACAAACGTAGCTAGATTGCCAACCACAAAATAAAAATTGGATTTCTTGACAATGATATCTAAGTTAAAACTTGAATTATTAACGGCCAAATGCAATGTTGCCAAACATTCGATCACGATCGATAAGAAAGATCGCTGTTAAACGTGACAACGCGGCTTTTTTCATAAGTATAAAACGATTCCAGTAACGGAAATCGAAGCGTTCTCCCACTTTTTCTCGTTAAAATTTCGATTTCGCGCTTTCCCATTTTCTTTTCTGAAGGTATGGTACCCAAATTTACATTACTAGACGAGTGGAGGTGAACCTTATTGCACCAGGAATGCTTCACTTCATCGATTTAGTAGGTATTAGATCATTGGAATTATGAGGTTGATCAAAAAAGCCATTTTGCTTTCATTGAAGTGAAATTATAAATTTTTTTTGTGATCGATACTCAAATTTATCACTGGAGGCCTAACATTTACCAATTAAGCAAGATTTTTGCATTGATTGATTCCATTATCCTTACTAGAGAGAACTAAGTTGAATCTTAAAGGGGACACAGTTATAGACTCATTTCAGTAGGCATGTGACATGTGTCAAAATTGAAAACTGTTGTCACCCATTAATTCTCTAATCCTTGCAATTCAGTGAAGATTTTCTACAAACCGCAATGGCTCATGATGAAAATTACACAGGAGGGAAGATGATCGAGCTAGAGATAATGAATTTTTTACAAGAGTTCTCGGAAAGCCGATTCAGTAATGAAATAACGTAAGTTTGCTCATGTATCGAACAAATAGTGGTAAATTCGAATTTAAGGGTCTTATTATTTCCCACTGGACTGCCCTACAATATGCAACGCGCAATTCGGTATATAGCAATGTTATTCGATCTCATCGGAATACGAGTTGGTCCGGAGAAGGCACAAACGATGCTCGTTGTTCGTCGACACCATTTAAGGTAAAAAGTCAATTCCTCATCTCGATTTTGTATATATCGTTGTAGACCTCCATATGACAAACAGGTAAATCACTACTTTGGTTATGAAGATGCAGAGAGTGACGCACCATATATATACGAAGAGTTTCGTGATGCACTAAAGGCATCCTTTACCACCCATATAAGAAACCAAAGTGACCGAAAGAAGTATGCATCGTAAGTATCGCTCAGTATCGTTACATGGCTGATGAAAATCGTAGATAGGCATTGATTTCTTAAAACAGTTGGCCCTCATTTGATGGTACTTTTTCGTAGATGCCACCACATTACTGCTTACTTAACAAGACCTCTTGTATAGTAGTATAGTAGTTCTATGGTTTTTTGTTTTGGTATGATCTCCAGTAATCCATAGTTGAGCGGATTCCAATCGCTCTCTGCTGTATTACACTAGTGCCATTGGAGTCAAATCTGTTCGCAATTCAGTAGATTCAATGGTTACTATTTCTAGAATTCTTGAAGTGATGCATCAAATTTCAAATAAGGGAACGCAAACTCAAATTGAAGACGACGCTTTACTTAGTACCTCTGCTTACTACGATCCAGGACCAAGCACCTCTCCTTACAATGAAGCATTTCCTGGTAGTTCGTCTTATGAAGCAGTACCCGGCCCCTCTGATTACTATGATCCAGAACCGAGCACCGCTACTTACGATGAAGCACTTCCCAGTACTTCTTATGAAGCAGTGCCCAGTAACTCTCCTTACTACGATCCAGGACCGAGCACCTCTGCTTACTATGATCCAGAACCGAACACTTCTGCTTACTACAATCCAGGATTGAACACCCCTTCATATGCAGCAGTACCCAGCACCTCTGCTTACTGTTATCCAGGATCCCGCACTTCTGCTTACCATGCAGCGATTCCCAGTATCCCTACTTACAATGTTGTAATGCCCACTATCCCTGCTTATTATACACCGGTAGCCATCGCGCCTGTTTATTACCAACCAGTACCCATCATTCCTGTTTATTACCAACCGGTACTCATCGCCCCTGTTTATTACCAACCGGTACCCATCACCCCTGCTTATTATGAACCGGAACCTACCACCTCTGGTTATTATGAACCGGAACCAGAACCTTTCACCTCTGGTGATTATGAATCGGAACCAGAACCTACCGCCTCTGGTCATTATGAACCGGAACCAGAACCTACCACCTCTGCTTATGAACCTGAACCTACCACCTCTGCTTATGACGAATCGGAACCAGAACCTACCACCTCTGGTTATTATGAACCGGATCCAGAACCTACCACCTCTGATTACTATGAACCGGAACCAGAACCTACCACCTCTGCTTATTATGGACCGGAACCAGAACCTACCACCTCTGATTATTACGAACCGGAACCACAACCTACCACCTCTGCTTATTATGAAACGGAACCCGAACCTACCACCTCTGGTTATTACGACCCGGAACCAGAACCTTTCATCTCTGGTGATTACGAACCGGAACCAGAACCTACCGCCTCTGCTTATTATGAAACGGAACCAGAACCTACCACCTCTGGTTATTACGAACCGGAACCAGAACCTTTCACCTCTGGTGATTATGAACCGGAACCAGAACCTACCGCCTCTGGTGATTATGAACCGAAACCAGAACCTATCGGCTCTGGTGATTATGAACCGGAACCAGAACCTACCACCTCTGCTTATTATGAACCGGACTCTGACATTCCTGATTATTACGAACCGGCAGCCAACAACCCTGTCTGCTACGATCCGATACCCAACACCTACGGTTACTTCGAAGCAGTACCTGGTAGTTCATTTGGTGACGCAATAGAGCCGAGTAGATTAAATGTATACCCTAATCCGTATAAAACCGCCGTACCGCCTACCATGGAAAACTGGCCCGACTATAAATATGTTCCAAAGAGACCTAACTCTGTGCAGTTTTCGGACCGCCTGATTAGAGACGTAAGTTGAGGTAAACTCGCAGTTGTCAGAAAATACAGTGTTTCCCCTGTAGGTTCAACAATTTGTTGGATTTGACACCCTCATTGTTATCGCTGGCCAGGATTATGACCGTTTCAAGAAGAGGCGGGCATACAATATGGATTATGTCATAGAGCTATACAACCTCCCCTTAAGCAAGCGCGTGACTGCTATCAAACAAGTCTATACCGAAGAACCGTTTTACTTGAGATGGAGTAATGACAATGCATTACTTATTTCACGCTCAATTGACCAAGGTAAATATGAAATCTATGTATACTAAATATCTTCAAGTTATCTTTACACAGCCAAGAAGAGACTTAAAATACAAAGTGAAAGTATCCAGTCTCGACCTTTGTCAGAAGCTACTCCACTCTCCATTCTCATTGCCTACTACGGCCGTTTGGCTCCTGCAAGACTACGAGGTCATTTGTAATGTTTGATTTAAATTACTTGTTAAATATGTTAAATTGAGTTTTCAAAGTTTATAAATTGTTATCCAAATTGTTTATCCAAAATAAAGTTACATTTCTTATAGTCCAGCTACATTTACTTTCCAAAACAGTTTTCTGCCATTAGGTAATTTACCCTGACTGTCCGTGAGCGCGTTCCACAACCGCAGGCTCATTCTGACAAAAGGACAAAGAGGTACCGGTCCAATAAAAAACGCCTAAAGCTGTTAGGAAGAAGCAACAGTGACAGGAGCCGTCGTCTCTGGTCCACAGAAACTGGCCAATTCCTCTACATAGTGTAGACATCCTACGTGAGACCAAACACGACAAGACTAAAATGCAGAAGCGAGACGAACTCTGGGAATTGTATAGGGCAGCATTTGCTACACACAATTCCAAAAGAAAGACCTAGTGCGAATGCGCCATGGGAACACTCGAGCTGTTATTGGATTCTCTTTCCAAGCTCTCGCCAAATACTGGCATCAGCTGACACGGCAGACATGGAGGAAATTACAAAATACCCCACTCTAGAGTGAGAAGTGAGCCCGTTAAAATCTTTAAACCCTTCAAGTCGCCTGGCAAATATGGCACAGATCATGGCTTGAGCATAAAACCAGGATGCCTAACTCTAGAGGTTCCCATCCTGGAGGATACCACCATTAGCCTCAATTAAAAAGCCAAATATCTAGGGGTAACCTTAGACGATAAGTTAATATAGAACTTCCATCTGGTGTAGCTGGTAAAAAAGGCAGCAATATTAACCTAATGGTGCAGGAAGTTACTGGGAAGAAATTGGGGTCTAACTCCAACAATGCTGATAATTAAACCCAGGTCACCTACGCCGCTGTGGTATGGTGGCTAACCAGCACATACAGGTCTAGTCTGTTTGAGCAGCACAAGAGCTATGAGCACCTAGCATTGCATAGAAACAAAAGGTTCAAACTAGGGACACCTGCACCCTATCAGATGTTGCATCAACCTCAAGCGTGAAGAAGAATAGGAACTAAAGAAACCCACTCTCAAAAGAGGCTCTGTGCAGTGGCATATTTACAGTTCTAAACCAAAAGATGGAAAAATGGGGGTAGGAATTAGCGGTTCCACCTCCCTCATCTCTAGACACTGGGTAAAAATCCAACCATATTCCATACTGCACCCTCAAACACCTGGATATGGGAAATCAGTGCAATAATTGACATTCTCCCAGAATTTAGGCAGCACTAAAAGCCTTAGCAGCCTGCGATTGTGATATGGTGCTCTGCAACCTGAAGCAGCTGGCAATTAAAAACCATGTTACTATATGATGGGTTCCAGGGCATTCGGATATGGCACGGTGCACGGAGATAGACTGGAAAAACTAACTCATCCCCAAAGAAAAAAGCAAGCAGTCTCCCACTGGAACAGCGACAGGCTGAACGAGTTATCCAGGCATCCTTGGAGACGGCCACTGAGGTTACAGTCCTCTGCAAGGTGGCCCTTGTGTTAAACGATAGTGATTCTGCCACTAGTCGCCGACGTAACGTTAAGTTAACCCCTACCGAAATAGCGGAAAATAACCCCAAAGTAGTTGTTAGGTGCAAGCTACTCTAGAAACCAGTCAGGGAAGTCATACACGTTTCACTATCAATAATAATAATAAGTTCGCCATTTTGGAAATAGTCGCCATTTTGAAACTGCGGTGTTGCTATCGAGAGTAAGTACACTAAGGGTGGAAAGTGGCATGTTGGTGTCCCCAAAAGATAATTTAGTCAGTGAAACCATGAATTTGCTCGCACTGTTAAAGCCGGACTCATTAGTCGCCAAATACAATGTTGCCAAACGGACGATCATGGTCAACAAGGACGATCACTAAACGTGGCACCGCAGCAATTTGCGAATTTGAAAGGAAGCGTCCTTTTGTAACGGACTTTTTTTCTTTGAAATTAGAGAAAAGTTGATTTTATTATTAGTATAAGTTCATCGTTGGCTGTAGAGGGGTAAGTATAGTAGAATTAGTACCTAGGCATTGGTGATACTTTGAAGATAAATTATGATTCAGTATCCCATCCATGGAGTACTACGTTAACTCTTGAAAGACGAAGCATTCACCCTTCATTTCAGTAGGCATGAGACATGTGTCAACATTGAGAGCAACAAATACTTGTTGTCACCTATTGAGTCTAACTCTTACATTTCAGTCACGTTTCTACTAACCAACAATGGATGCTTGTTACACTACTGGAAAGTTGATCGAGTTGGAAATAATGAATTTCTTGCACGAGTTTTCAGATGCTCTGTACCACGACACAATAACGTAAGTTCAGGCATGTGTCGTAAAAATAGTGTTGAATGTAATTTACAGTGTACTGCTATTTCCCCCTGGGTTGCCTCAGAATATGCAACGGGCGATAAGGTACATAGCCGTGCTGTTCAACTTAATCGGAATACAAGTTGGTGCGGAAGGTGAACAGACTGTATTGGTAGTGCGTCGACATCACTTGAAGTAAAATCTAGTTCATTTTTTCACCTCATTTGTACATCCTTCTATTTTTAGGCCCCCATATAATACTGTTAATAATTACTTTTCATATGAAGATGAGGATCCTGACACACCATATATATATGAACAGTTCCGTGAGATGTTAAAATCTTCTTTTATTCGCTATATCTTGAAACTGAAATATAAAAAACCATATATGGGGTAAGTATTAATTACTAGCGCGTGATACATGAAAAATAAACAACACAAATGATATCCGAGTCCAACTCTTCATTAAGGATCTGCCAAATCCTTCTTAAAATGTTATCATTTTAAGGTCCTTAAACTTGGTTCCTCTTGGTCCAAGTAAAATCCATATTAAATTTGTGGTCAAAAAGTCAAAGGCCCCCCCCCCCCCCATTATTAAAAGGGATTAGAAAGAAGGGCAGTAGTTGGTAGTTTATGATGCCTTTCATTAGAATACTATGAACCATAAAATTCATTTCTACCCCCTCCCCCCGGCATCATACTAATTCTCCTAAAGGAATTACGCAGGAATGTTCATTTCGATGAGACCTTTCATTAGAATACCAAGAGTGGAAACCTCCATTTTCAAATGTTTTACTTGGCACCACTAAACGCATGCGTATCCAAAATCTGAGGCCAATTGTTTGTCGCATGTAAAAGTTATGCACGTTTTATTTTGAAAAACAGTATCTCAGGAAATAATTCATGGGCGGGGAGGGGTCACTCCTTAAGACAACAATAAATTTCATGGCCGTCTGGCACATCTTTAAGGTGTAGACTACCTATTGCAAAAAATTTCAGGGCCCTAAAAGTAGTTCAAAACCGTAGAAGGAGGTCCGGACGGACGGACAAAACGCAAACAATAGCAAATTTTTTTTAATTCTTAAAAAATGCGTTAAAAATGAGCATGACCCTCTTCCGAATAGAGGGATATTGACTTGAGGTTTTTTTTGCGTTGGACAGAGGAGGAAACAGAGCGTGTAGTGCCACCTGGGACTTACGGTTCCAGAGAAAAGTCACCTCAACTTTGGGGTAGGGCTGTTCAGGAAGTGCAACTGCCAGATGTTCCAGATGCTCCCATTCTAAAACCACAAGTCGATATCTCAACAAATAAAAAAGTTGCGACTGTTCTATTAGGATAATGTCAAATTTTTGGCCATACGCTAAATGCCCAAAATGGATGTGTAGTGTCAAAAAATGGCCACAAATTCCTCCTCAGGTCATTTTGTAGGTAAAAAAACGGATATGACTCCCTTGCGAAACCCTAAGAGCTTTAAGAAAGGGTCCATTGTCAAAACCGAGCACATTTTTTGATTCAAAGTGGTCAATTTGGGTAAGAAACGAGTTTTCGTCGAAATCAAATCAGACCATCCTCCTTGGTCCAGATGAAAGTCATTTTTATTTGTCGAGATATTTACACAAAAACGGGTGCGCTTAATCCGAAAATGGTCAAAATGGTCCTTAAGGATGAAACAAGGTACAAGAAAATGACAGGAGCTTCTTCCGAACGCCCCTTTTTGAAATACCGAATTGCCGTTTTCGAAAGCGGAAGGATGAGAGTGTCCACTGTAAAAGCAGTCGCGTTACTCAAACCGCTTCCTCGCTACAAGTTGGACTTCATTTTCCAATTTCCTCATCTAACATTGAAAAAGTACTGTAGCTAAACCGGCTGAGGTACATCGCTAGTACACTCTCGTCCTGGTATTTTTTTTAATTTATCAAAAGTAAAAAAATTGTGCTTTTTTTAAAAATCGTTGTAAATATCATGCGGGTGGGGGGTGAGGGAACCGACTATTATAGCCTAGAGTTCAATCTTCAGCTAATCCGCCCCTGCATATGAAACCATTACAATCTTTCTTTCTACGATAGCGATAACGCATAGCGGCTAATGGGAAGTACAAATAGACGAAGAAATAAATAACAGGGTAGCGCATCTAAAATTGGGGAATGAGATGGGGTTTTCACTAAACGTATGACCATGAAGAGGGCCATATGCGACGGTGATTTTTCTGCGTTTTCCTCTCCACCACCATATCCAAACAGAATCATATCCCGTTCCCCAGTAAATGACGACTTTCATTTAGTTAGTTGTTATCTGTCGGTTCCTTCAATATTCTATTGTATCCATTCCTTATTTTTAGAATACTTCAAGCGATGCTTCGCATTCCGAGTCAACGAAGACCACCTCAAACAAGTACACACAACGCTGTACCGAGTACTTACGGTTACAACAATCCAGTACCTAGCACTTCCGGCTATAATTATCCAGTGCCCAGTACTTCCGGATATAACGATCCTGTACCCAGTACTTCCGGATATAATGATCCCGTACCCAGCACTTCCGGATATAACGATCCCGTACCCAGCACTTCCGGATATAACGATCCCGTACCCAGCACTTCCGGATATAACGATCCCGTACCCAGTACTTCCGGATATAATGATCCCGTGCCCAGCACTTCCGGATATAACGATCCCGTACCCAGTACTTCCGGATATAATGATCCCGTGCCCAGCACTTCCGGATATAACGATCCCGTGCCCAGCACTTCCGGATATACTGATCCCGTACCCAGTACTTCCGGATATAATGATCCCGTACCCAGCACTTCCGGATATAACGATCCCGTACCCAGCACTTCCGGATATAACGATCCCGTACCCAGCACTTCCGGATATAACGATCCCGTACCCAGTACTTCCGGATATAATGATCCCGTGTCCAGTACATCCGGATATAATGATCCCGTACCCAGTACTTCCGGATATAATGATCCAGTACCCAGCACTTCCGGTTGTAATAATCCAGGGCCCGGCGCTTCCGGTGACGATCAATTTCTTCTCAGCACCTGTTCTGAGGAAGAATCAGTACAAAGTAGCTGTGATTATAGTGAAGAAAGCAGTACCACGTCTGACCATGAAACAGCATCTATTGTTGCTGTCGTACCCAGCAGCGCTTCGAAGGACAAAGCAGCATCCAATACCGCTGATTGTTCGTCTGACAATAAAGCAGTGGCAACATCTGCTGGGGGCCCTAAAAGTAAGGACCCAGTAGAACGACGTGGTCCGCCTGGATTAAATGTTTACGCGAAAGAGTTTAGACCCTCGCTTGATCCAAGGAGCGCCTACATGGAAAACTGGACAGGGTGCAAATATGTGCCAAAGAAGGGTCGTCATGTAGTGTTTACTGACGACCAAATTAACGAAGTAAGTTGACGTGAACTCACAGTTGTCAGAAAATTTAGTGTTTGTCTTGTAGGTTCGACAATATGTGGGTTGTAACGCCCTCATCGTTGTCGCTGGCCAAAGTTATGACCGATTTAAGATTGGACATGTGTACAACATGGATTATGTGTTGGAACTATTTAATTTTCCCCAACATCACTGTATAAATGCAATAAAACGGACGTACAAAGAACAGCCGTATTACTTACGACTTTTTCAGGGCAGAGCATTACTTGTTGGACGCTCAATAGACCAAGGTAAATATAGAATTTATGCCTACTAAATGCCTTAACTTATGTTTACATAGCACGGCGACTACACGCGATAAAAAGCGAGGGTATCAAGTCCCGACTATTTAAGCAAGCGAGTCCATTGGCCGTCGTTATCGGCTACTATGAGCGCTTATCGCCTGCGAAACTAAGAGGTTATTTGTAATTATTTATTATATATTTATACTGTTTCTTGTGCCGACCCGCTTTCAATTATAAAATTAATCTTTGTATAATCAAATAAAGTTGTTCAAGACTATTAGTTTATGTACCTATGGCAGCTTTCAGTAAATGCAACACAATTATATATACACACAAGGTCCCAAAACAGTGCGTCGGTCTTGTCTAGCTCATACCTCATAACAAAATATCAAAAAAAACATTTTGTGCAAATAGAAGGATCCGCATGTATGGAAATTATTTTTGAATGGACGGAGTGTCCCATTTTTAACTGTTTTTTTATAGAACACCCTGTATATTTGTAATTGTTTGGATGTCATTTGTTAACCTCTATATTGAAACCTATTCACTTTTTGATTTTTTGTCAATATTGTCATCCTATTAATTTTTTTCCGAATAAGCAAGCCTGACTTTGATGCATCGTAGCTACCTAACAACTTCGAGGTTTAGACACAGCACGGCCCTTATAAAAATTGAAGAGAACACAAAAGAATAGCGAAATAAAATGGTCGTAGTTAAATTTGAAAAAAAATTTATGGTAATTTGAAATTCGGAAAATTTACCATTTCATTGTAAACACCCTGCCACCTCAATTCTCATTATCAAAGTGTTGCCCTTTCGCGGATTAACATTACTGCTCAAATTTATTTCTTAACTTCAAAAAATAAGGTCGCTGCGATTCATAGAAGTGAGGCAGCTTACGGGGAATTATTAAAAAAAAAAATTAAAAAAATGCCAACATTGACAGAAATCAAAAAGTGAATAGGTTTCAATGTAGAGGTTAACAGGTGACATCCAAACAGCTAAAAATATACAAGGTGTCCCATTTGAAAAAATAAGTTATTTATTTACACCGTAAAAATGAGACACCCTGTACATTCAAAAATTATTTCTATAGATGAGCAACCATCTAAGTTAAAATTTGCACAAAAGGATTTTTTTTATTTAAAAAAAAAGACGCACACGAGTCCAAGGAGGCGAGATGTACCCCGCAGGAAGAAAACAATGTATTTAGAAGTGACGCGCCCAGACCGTCTAACAGCTGAAGGTAATAGAAGGATTATTCAGAATCAAAAAAATTTTGCAAGGGGGCGAGATCTACCCCACAGGAAAAATGATTTAGAAATGACGCAACCAGACACAGTCTAAAATTAAGCTGAGAAGCATTATTCAGAATCAAAAAAATCTTGCAAGAAGCTCGAAACACCCTGTAATTTTGATATGTACAGATCTCCCTCTCCATTCATCATCTACCAAAAAACTAAACACAGATAAATACAGCATGCTATTACCATTGCTATTACCTTATATCCCAACCAATAAAACCAAACATCGCATGCAGTAAAAAATTAAATGCGCGCATGCACGTACTACGCAATACCAACTTTAATGTTAACTACAAGTGCTTTGAGTAGAGGTCAACATATCGCAAATAGTAAAAATCAACTGTGCTCATATCAATTTCTTGCTTATAGATATTTTTTAAATTTCAACCATAACTGGTCCTAATAGAAACAAACGTAACGCACAGTGAAAACCAAATCCGCCCATGCGCGGACTCTGTAATACCAACATTTTTTTTTTAATTTTAACTGCAAATGCAGCATGAACTCCTATTTATGAAGACATTCCTTCAAGATATTAACTATGCGCTTTAAGCTTATGTTCATAAAACCTTTCTATGCATGGGCAAAGATATTTTTTCTTGTTTTGTTTAATTGCTTCCATTACAGAGCACAGTTGAAATTTGTTACGATCCCACCCCCCCCCCCCACCCCCAAATTTTATAAAAATATTTAAAACCATTTTCGAGATATCGCTTTGTACGACTTTAGAAAACTCACCCCGAGACTCACCCTGTATTTGAGGTTTAATGTTTAACAGTAATGTATGTGACAAATCTGAACGGATCAGAATAGCTAAAAAAAACTCCTGGAAAAAATATGACTTAACTAACGAAGACACAACAGGAAGGGGGAAGATTCACATAACCAGCAAAGATGATTACTAAATGTTTGGGGTAGCATACTGGAACAACACCTTCTGGGGTCTTACTTCTTCGAGGGGTCCTTATACGGTCAACACTATTTAAGGTTCCTTCGTGACAACTGGGTGGAACTCTTGGAATATGTCCGATGGAGCTTCCTCACATGATAGCCTTGTCGCTCGGGAATATCTTAATGGAAAAATTTCCGGACTCGTGGATTGGCTTGGAGTGCCCAGTAAGATGCCCGCCAAGGTCTTTTTCACAAATTGGCTTTTCACCTTGTTTTTTGTCTAAAATTTTCTTATGGAATATGTGGTTTTGTTCATAGAAGTTTTGACCTGAACCTCAATTCAAAATTTAGCCGGCGCAATTTAAATTCTTTCAACAAACAAAATTCGAAGAACTGCCAAATTTTGAGGAAAAAAGGTTATAACAACGAAATTGTTAAAGTTAAAAAAATAAGTACTTTTCCAAATCTAAACAAACTAAGTTTGATACGCCACTGGAATACAGTACGCCCCTGTGGATAAAAAATATTTTAGGAACATGACGACATACATCATCTAGGGGTAAGAATTTTGAGGAAAAAATTACAAAACCGGTGAAGGTGCATTCTATGAGCACCAGTCATAAATTCGTTTTTGTATTACAAAAACCTGATACGATGCATGTGAATGAGGGCCCAAAAGGTACATTTTGTATCTGAGGATGGATTCGGTATAAAAAAGTTCCAATTGTTTCAAATAGAGGTAGGTACGTAAAATAAGTGAGCTGTTTAATATAAGTACAAAGTGAATTCCGAAAGGAAACACCAAATTGAACCTGAAAGTTAGGTTCTTAGGTCTCACATTAATAATAATAATAGGTTCGCCATTTTGAAAGTGAATAAGTACATAATATTTGTGAAACTTGAGGCAAGTGGCCTCATTGGCCATTAACCACAATGTTGCCAAACAGACGATCATGGTCGATAAAACAGAGCGCTAAACGTGGCACCGCCGCAATTTACGAATTTAAAATAGTAAGCTTCCTTTTGTAACGGAAACGGAATTATTCCGCCATTTTGCCTTGATTTGCGTTTTCCCAGTAATAATTAAATAGGTTTTTATTGCCTGGGCGGTTGTGCTTTCTTTGGGAGAAGAGTAACAGTAGAAATTCATTGTAGGCTGTAGTGTGGTAAGTATAGAGCAATTGTAGTTCTTTGTGGTATCCCAACTAACTCACTGTGAATTGGAGGGGGGGCGAATTAAACAAATAAGCAAGATTAGGCTTACGGTGGAGTACTAAATAGCTCTTGAAGGAGGAAATATTCATAGTTCAAGTCAGTAGGAGGTATATGTGTCAAAATTGTTGTAGCATCGTAAAATTCCACCCATTACATTTCCGTTAGACTACTAGTCACAATGGCTGACGAACACGACTTCACCATAGGCAAAATGATAGAAACGGAAATAAACAATTTCTTACAGGAGTTTTCTCAAAGCCGATGTGGTATGCACATACCGTAAGTTCATTCGTACATCACAGAAATAGTATCTCACTTCTAATTTACAGAGTCTTATTGTTTCCGATTGGCCTACCTCCTAATGTACTTAGAGTTATTAGGTACATAGCCATGTTATTCGACCTAGTTGCAATACGAGTCGGTCCAGAAGGGGCACAAACGCTTGCTATAGTGCATCCACATCATCTTCGGTAAGATGTCATTATACTTCTTCACCTCGGCTTCGCACACATCATGTTTCCAGATTCCCTTACAGTCAACACATTGGATATTACTTTGGGTATGAAGATGCACTCTATAATACGCCATACATTTACGAAGAGTTTCGTGACATGCTAAAATGGTCGTTCATCAAATTTATTGAATCGAGCCAGCGTAATCGAACAAAATATGACTCGTAAGTATTAGCACTGAACATTATTGAATGACTGATGGTTGTGTACGAGAGGTTTTTTTTGTTTTTGTTATCTTAGGATTGGTCTGTGGCAGTTCTTCAGCCTTCCCAATCTTCAGCCAACGTTTTCACTGCTACGTAGGAGGTACAGCCCATGTCTACCATTATTTGGTCGATATATTCCAAGCTGGGTCTGCCGCTAGCATTGGTACTTTCCATGGAACCTTCCAATAATGTCTTTAGCAAGCCTTAGAATATGTCCAATCCAGGTGTTCTCTTTTTCATAGTCCACAGACAAGTCCTATTCTCTCCAACCCTCCTTAGCACCTCTTCATTTGTCACTTGGTCAACCCAGGGAATCTTTAGGATTGTTGGGTAACCTAGCGCCTCTATCCTTCTTTTGTCAGTCTTCCCAATTGTCCAAGTCTCACTCCCATACAACAAAACGCCCTTTATCACATGTTTCCTAAGGTGCAAGTTCGTATTGGAGGAGGTAAACAGTTTCCGTTTGTTGTTAAAGGTGGCTTTAGCTTGATTTATTACTTCTGTTTTTGCTCTCCCATGTGATCCGATCTGATCGTTTTACCATTTCTACTCACCACCATGATCTTTGTTTTTGACCTATTGATACTTATGTTGTACATTCTAAGGGATCCATCCATTTCCTCAAGAAATTCTTGTATCTCTTCTTCTGTCCCAGGTAGCTGCCCTACATCATCTGCAAAACGCAACATGTGGACTCTTTTTCATTGGACCTTCACACCCCTTCTGTCTTTCATTTTGTCTACCATCTCATCTACACTCCTTTGATTGTGACCATTGGGCAAGGAGCGGGAGGAGTGAACATCCCTGCCTTACTCCTTGTTTGATCTTCGCCTCAACTTGATGTTCCCCCATCTCTTCCCTATGCAGTCTCTTCAATTACTCTTTGAACTTTATAACAATTTCCTTCAGCATCTTGAATCCAATTCACCCTGTCGAATGCCTTCTCAAGATCTATAAAGGCTATGAAGGTATCCTGACCCTTTCCCTTGTACCGCATTCCAGTCACCTGTTATAATTAAATTGTCCTCTCCATTGGCATTACAAATAACGTCATTTATCTCATCATAAACATTTTCATGACTAGCAAAGAGGGGAAGCAGGGGGTACAAACACAAACAACACAACAAAACAGAAAAACCAAATAAAAGGAGGACAATATGAAAATGATATTCTGGAATATAGCAGGACTAGCTGGTAAAGACGCTCACTCTGGGAGTTTGTAAGACGATAATATGTCATGGGGATGGTAGAATCACGGATAGACCAAAGAATTGGGAGAAAATATAGAACAGGATTCCAAATGAATATATATGGAAGAACCAATTTGCAAACAGGAGCAATATAAAGGGAGATATATTAACAGGGGTAAAAAAATGTAGTGTAATGTAGTTTTGGCGAAAAAAAGTTTAGTTTTTTAACCTTGACATTTTTTTTCTCTTCTCTTTTGTAATAAAATTTGAACGCAAAAGGAATGTGGGAAGAACATTATGACAGAATGGATACGGGCGTGGGTAGGAAAAAAGATGAAAAATGAGCTGGCAAAAAGGGATGCACAAATACATCAACAGAGCGTGAAGATAGAGAGCGGACGCGGTACCAGTAGTTATAAAGGGCTACTAAGGGAGTGGCTACCAAAATATTTGTGGGAAGGAAGGAAAAATACTAAAACATTAGCCAGATTCAGATGTGAACATGAAGAGAGAGGGAAAAAGAAATGGAGACAAAAAGAAGAAAGAACATGCAGAGTATGCGGAGAGGAAGAAGAGGATATGGAACAGATGTTATGGAACTGTACAAAGGTGGAAATGACAAAGAGAAGTAGGAATGAGATAAGAAAAAATCGCATTTTAGTTATAATTTATATTGTAAAGTTTTGACATTTTGGCGTCCAATAAAGATTGATTACTATCAGTTGGTAAATAAGCTTGCACTATCACCTTCCTGTTTAGTTTAGTATTTATACTGATTAGTATCACCCTTCTACTCCATTATTACACATATCCGGTAACCCATCGGCCCATAACTTTACTTAACACCACTCACGATCTGTATCGCTTCTTCCTTCAATGTAGCTCGTGTGAATCACTCGATAATCGCCCTTCCAGAAGTCACCATTTTCATCCTTGTTGTTTCCAAAATTACACTTTCCACGTTTTAATAAGGCTCGCACACTCCAAGGAGCTTTTTTCTTTTTCGTACGTAAAGCGCAATTCCAGAGATCCCATTGGGGGACTATTACTCCCGAACATTTCACAAGAGCACGCCTCATAGTAGATTATTCTTAGGAAATCCTAGGATGTTTAATGTAGTGCATCCCCTTGCTTTCCACATCCTATACGGTTGGTCCCTATCCACCACCCGCTCATTCGCACTCTTCAAGAGACCATTGGCACATGATGGGAGGGGGGGTGACTTCTTATCATAGCTCAAATTTCCATGATTATTATTATTTCTAGAATTTTAAGAGTAATGCGCAAAATTCCGCCAAACCAAACTGACGAAGTGTCCACTTCAGAAGATCAATCAGCTTCGGATACATCTGGTTACAGCCGAGCGGAACCTGGTACCTCTGCTGGTGCCTCTCAGAGTATTCTAACATACCAAACTGACGACCAAGAAGTATCCACTATGGAAGACTCCGATACATCTGCTTACGACCAAACGTTACCCAGTACCTCTACTAATACCACTCAAATTATTCCACACAACCCAACTGACGACCAGGCAGTATTAAGTTCTAAAGATAAATCAGTGTCCGATACGTCTGCTGACAACCCAGCGGAACCTGGTACCTCTACCGGTATCTGTGAACCGACGGCAACGGCATCTGATGGCGTCGTTCAAAATGTTCCACAAAACCTGCCCGACATCCAAGAAGAATACTGTTCTGAAGAGGAATCAGTTTCTGGTACATCTGCTTATGACCCAGCCGAACCCAGTACCTCAGCCAATGATAGTGAACTGACAACGACAACATCTACTGACACAGTACAACCGCGTACATTGAACGCACATGCAGAAGAGCAGCAACCCGCCCTTGAACCGCCAAGAAGCAGCACACCAACCTGGGAAGACTGGGTAAAAATGATACCCTCAAGAGAGTTAATTCATGAAGTAAAATAATGCAAATTCGCAGTCGTCAAAAATGTGATGTTTTCTTTGCAGATCTATCAATATGTCGCATGCAGCATCGTTGTTGTGGGTAAACAAAACTATTTCCGTTTAATGACACGATCTGTATACAATATGGACTATATCATCGAACTGACTCACAACTTAAATTGGTTAATTTTAAATGATGGTTCACACCGTTTAAATAGTATAAGAAGGATCTACCGAGAAAATCCATATTACGTAAAATTTTTCGACCACCAGTCATTACTTGTTGCGCGTTCCGTAGGTCAAGGTAAATACATAATATATCTATACTAAATATCTTACAATTATTATTTCACAGCGAGAAGACTGCTAGCTGTACAAAACAGCGAGATTCAAGCGCGCCCATTTGATCAAGCAAATCCATTATGTGTCCTCCTTGCTTATTATGGCCGATTGGCCCCTGCAAGGGGGGGAACTTCGAAATAATATGAATACTTACATTTGTAAAGTCGGTTAATTTAAAAATTTGTTTATAAAATTAATTAAATCTTATTACAACTTTTTCAGAGATATTTGAATATTCATATCTGCACATTTTAAAATAAAGCTGGTATCTATTTAAATCGTTAACAACAGCAATTTTACAAGAACTTGATTTTATAAAAAAATCTGTTACTAGCCCTTAAAAAACGGCACTGAAACTCAACTTCGTTTCAGGTATCAAACTGCCCCAAGGAATTAAAACATGAAGACTACAGTCTGATTGAGTTACTATGAAACCATGATGACATGCACTTACCCAAAAATAGAATTAACATTTTGAATTCTTTGAAATGTATATAGCAGATTTTTGTATAGTGACTGCTTGGGCTAACTTAACAAAAGTGTGGGCCTCCTCATTTTCATTGTTTCAAGTTTATTATCCCTCTCTTATTTATTTATTTATTTATTTATTTATTGTCCCTCTTGTTCTAGGCCCTCAACAGGCTTACGCCCAATTACAGAGTGACCCGCATAATGCTTTTTTAGAGGTGCCCCTGCAGAAGGTCTTAAGTTGTTCTATACTACTCCGGTATTTACCTTACGAATTAGGAAAACCTAGTTCGGAGTAGCCGGCAGAATGCTCGAAACTAGTCTAAGGTAATCCGCCACAGATGAAAAATTCACCTCAACCCAGGTTCGAACACCCGACCTCCGAATTTATAGCCCAACGCTCTACCATTGAGCCACGAAGCCGGTATTCCTGTTGAATCGTGCTAGCCATCATGACTTAGTTTGCAACTATTTATTTGACCTTGAGATTTGTCAAATCCTTGAGATTTCCCAAGGTCGTGTGATGTCCCAAGGTCACGTGGCGTCAGTCATGTCCATGGGATTTCGTCAAACGATCTCGTTATAGAAGTTTTAGAACTGTACGAGAGAGAACCTATTGGCTACAATATAATCACATATACTAATTTTTTATATAGACCCCCTCGCCCCCCAAATTTTCCTATTTTCCAATAATTGTGCTTTTTCCACTGACAGCTCTGTTCCCTTTGTTATCCCTTTCCTTGTTTGTGCTTCATTGAGGGGTTAACTCGTACTAATGACGTGAAAATAACCTAAATACATATAGACTGAGAGCTGGCTACGGAAAAATGTTAGTTATCGGCATCGCTACATGGGTGATGGTATCCTGATAGCATAGCCCAGTAGAAATCGACATGTCTGGCAGCGAGATCCCGTAACTTAAGGCTAGGAGGGGAGGTCAAATCGGTCAAATTTTAATAATGTTTCCGAGTTTCTGACTATATTTACCCCTAGCGCCTTTATTTTGAACCCGACGCAAAAAGTGTATGAGACTTTCGGGTACAGCTCATCAAAGTGCATCTTTTTTTACATTTTTCGCTATGGTGCTTATTTTTCGAAAAAAGTGCAAACTTAAAACAATTATAAAATAAATAATTTTATTTAAAATTTCTCAAAAACTAAGAAAACACAAAAGTGTGGAAAGTAAAAAATCAAAAAAAAGGGTTTTCGTCTTAAGGCGAGTAATGTAAGTAAAATATGCAATATGCCAGCTAACGTGGCATAAAAAACTACAACAAAATCTATTCGTTTTTTTGCGAGTTTCTTAGTTTTTGAGAAATTTTAAATTGACATGTTAAATTATTTAAAATGTTTTACAATTTGCACTTTTCTCGAAAAGTAAGCGCCATAGCGAAAAACGTTAAATACAAACAAAAATGTGTCTTGATGAGCTGTGCAAAAAAGTATCATACGCCGGGTTCAAAATAAAGGCGCCAGAGGTAAATATAGCCGGAAGTTTTATTAAAATTTGACACATTTGACCGCCCCTCTCGGACATAAGGCACGGGATCTCACTGACAGATATGACATTTTTCTGTAGCCAGCTCTTTACCACAACAGCAAAATGTAGTGTTAATTAGGGACTAACAAAATACCACAAAAAATTTATTCCAAGATTCTATGAGCAAACAGCATTTTGAAATTTGCTAGTCAATCACTGCAAGGCAGATTACACACTGGTGTCTTAAGACATTTGTTTTGTTTGATGAAATTTTATGACACATGTATGATCTTTGTATTGTGTCTGATGTCTTACGTCTGATGCCTGACTGTGAATACTGTCGTTGCTAGTTAGTCAAATGCAAATATGTCAGATTGTATGAGTTATGCGCATGCGCGAAGTTGGTGTCTTGTGCGACATGTATTACCAAACACTGCCGAACCGGTCTTGTATGCGCATGTCACGTCCTAATTTGATAAAACTGGTCGGTTTCAATGCCTCAGATACAAAAATTTCTTAAACATCAGTGTGTAACCCGCTTACGTGTACAATTAATAGAATATCTAAATAATTTGCCCGATATCCAACTTTTAGTTTAGCAAAGCCGTTTTGTTAAGGAACATCTTAATTGTTCCCAGTGCAAATTTCTGCACTGTTGGTGTTGCTCTGCTAGTTACATTTTTCAAAGCTTCTAAGACATTAAGCTAAAATTTGTTTTAGCTAAATTGCATAATGTGTTGCTTTTAACATTGTACCCTCCCAGAATAGCAAATGAAAAAAACAAAACTATTTTAAATAAACACAGCATGCACTTACAAGTTGTAACCGAATGACAACCTGCTGGACCTAGCTCCCCACTATTCTGAATCGATTTAAGAATTGTATTCAATTTATGAGCAAGCATACAGTTTTACAGCTCCTCTAAATCACTAGGAGTCTAAAATTTGACGGAGTCCACTTAGATTCAGCCCCCCCACTAGAATTACTTTTATAAAATTAAATTTTGTACTGGAATAACGAGCTAGTTAAGACCTTTCATTTTCAAGCAATCGCAATGTTTGGGCGCCACTCTTAAAAGAGCAAATACATATAATCGTTGGAGCGACCAGGTCCACTTGGACGTAGCCCCTCCTCTGTTTTTCTTTTCTTATTTTAAGTGAATGCATGAATTACGAGCTATGTAAGAGCTTTCATTTGCAAGCAATTGCAATTTAGAGGCAATCTTAAAAAAGCTTTAAAAGGCCAGGCCTATTCAGACGTAGCCCCTCTCCTTTTCTCCTTTAATGATTTCAAAGTAATTTTTATCCATGACTTAAGCTATTGATGTATTATTTATGACCATTTTGACAATGTATCTTTACTAATTCATGATTATTATTACCCTATTGTAGGGTCAACTGTGCTACAATACAATATCACTTGATTGCATACCAGAAAAATTAAAGTTTTGTTAAGGAAATGTTTTACCAATGAGGGTTCCAAAATTTGAAAACAATCGGATTTGTCAATGATATAATTTTTAAACAAATAAGGCGCACCTTAAGTCAAGTAGCTGTAGTGGTTATAAAAACTCTAAACATATTATCTATGTATACTGCTATGTGCAATGGAAAACGGTTACCAAACCACTCACATAAACCCAACAGCCTTGATCAACTTTTGCTTTACCTCCAGAACTCTTATATCCTGGGTCGTGATTTGGGCTAAATTAAACACAAAGGCACAAGATAAAACAAATTTATTCAACAAAAATCAATTAATACACATGTAAGAAAGAGAGGCGCTCAGGGCCTGAAGACAAATACCACGCAGACGGTTACTAAACCACTCACATAAACCCAACAGCCTTGATCAACTTTTGCTTTACCTTGAGAACTCTTATATCCTGGGTCGTGATTTGGGCCAGATCAAACACAAAGGCACAAGATAAAACAAATTTATTCAACAAAAATCAATTAATACACATGTATGAAAGAGAGGCGCTCAGGGCCTGAAGACAAATACCACGCAGATGCGATCGATTAAAACAAATTAGTTAAATACAGTTTTAATTACCTTAAAGTTAATCATCCTTAAAATACGGTCATAACTGCGATCTTCTTGAATTGACGCACAGAAAAACACAAACAACCAATTGATATTGCTTCATTTTACTTTCACTTCATTCTTGATTTAAACGGCACTGGATATGGTGAAATTTTAACCTTTTTGATAGTGGATAGCTTGGCACTTGAAAACTTCTTGGTATACGTGAACATACACTTGGCCTTAGCACGAACTGAACTTTTATAACGCCGTCTTATCGCAAGACCGGAGATAAACTGTCTAATAACAACGCATTATTTCCAGATGTTTAACCTTTCTTATCGTAATCTACTGAACAAATAAAGCAAACAAAATACAAGGCAATTATTGTCTTATTTCTTGATACGATCAATTGCAGTTTTCTCTTTAACCGTTGAATTATAGGTATAAAACATTGTACATGAAACACACCTAGAATTAAATGTGTTTTGACCCTGTACGATGTGAATTTCAATTGTTTCTCTAGCGTAACATGAATTTCGATCATATGTGAATATGAAGTGAATGTCCATTTTAATTAGCATTATTTATTTAAAAATGTTTGATTTTTGTTTAATTAATTGCTTTGATTATTTTGATAGGTTTGGAAATAATTGTGTGTTATTGTAAAAGTTGATCTCCTGTCAGTGCGATATCGCTGCGTAGAGGTAATTAATTTCAAGATAAGCACATGCTTTTTTTCGCCGAAGAAAACACAGGTGTTCAGTTATTCAATGACGCGCATTAATTTTGATAAAGAAGAAAGTTAGAGAGGGTATAAAGAGTTCGTTATAAAAGTGAAAATTCAGCTTAAACAAATGTTAAGTAAACATATTTACATTTTTCGTAGTAGCAGATATCAGGCGTGCCTTAGGAAAATTGTAGTGAAAAATTTCATGTAAACATTTTGAAAGTATATCTGAGCTTAATTGAGCTAGCTGGAAAGGTGGGTGGTTTAGTGACAGTTTGCCATTACACATAGCTTTATAGGAGTTAAGATAAAAAATTAAAAATCTTAATAACTCTTAAATCGCTTGCGATTCATGATTAAAAATTAATTTGAAATAAGTAAAGGAAAACATAGACATGTCCAAATAGATCTGTTTTGACGATTATTACTATTTGTTTCTTATTTATTTATAACATATTTTGCACATAAAAAAATAAATAAATATTTGACCTTTTACAAGTGAAGCTCAAAAATTAAAATTGTAAGTGAAAGCTCGTAAATAGTTCATAATCGCTGGATAAAAATTACTTTGAAATAAAAGAGAGGAGGGACTACGTACGCATAAACCTGGCCTTCCATATTTGCTCTTTTATGATTGACTCTGTAAATTGTAATTCATGCACAAAAATTAATTTGAAATAAGTAAAGGAAAACAGAGGAGGGGTTACGCCCAAGTGCAGCTGGCCGCTCCAACGATTATATCTATTTGCTCTTTTAAGAGTGAGGTTCAAAAATTGTAATTACTTGAAAATGAATGTTCTTAAATAGCTCGTAATTCCAGTACAAAATTTAATTTGATAAAAGTAGGTAATTCCAATCAGTGGGCTGACTCCAAGTAGACTCAGCCACCCCATAATACATTTTAGATTTCTAGTGATTTAAACGAGCTCTACAATTTTATGCTTGAGATATCAAAATCTCCTATAATTAATACAATTCTTAAATTGATTCACAATAGTGAGGGGGACTAAGTCCAGCTGGGTCTGAATGACCTACATGTCAATTCCACCTTGTCATTAATCTAACCCTAAAATGGTAACAAACAAATGGCATGTGCCTGTAAAAAGATTACAAAAAATAGACATAACAAATGTATTTATTGAAGTAATTTGCAAAGTACATACAAACTGAAAAGAAACCATAAAAATACTACAAACTACAGACGCAAGATCAACAAACATTTAAACACGAACAAATATATCAAAAATAATACTATACGAAAAAATACTGATTCATAAATCTTGTACAAAATGATCTGATGGCAAAAATAAGCAAACGCAATTGTACAAAATTTTATAGTTGTGCAAAAAGGCAGCGGCGAAGGGTGACAAACGTTAACACAAAAATAAAACAAAAATACTAGTCACGTTTACAAAATATTCCAAAAATTTAACCTGGCGCGTTCCTGAAAAAGACGAGTGACCGGAAATTCTCTTCTGTCAAAAATGTACGAATTGCGCACTAAATAATTGCGGTTGAAACAATGCAACATGTATCGCACTAAAGAAATATCGAAGAAAAATAAATGTGTAGCGTTCAGAAGTGGGATAAGTCAGTCAATGGAGTACAGGAACAAGTGCATATGGTATGAATGGACGCATATGTACTTCATACCTCTGGCATATGGGTTTCAACTGCAATTAATTATATTTGTGTCTGCCTATGTAAACGTACAAAGCAAAAATGGTTGCCTCTACACTGAATCACCGGAAAATCAATACGCGCAAATAGAAATACGCGAAAGGAGTAACCTGCCGCACTTAACCGAATAACTTGTAATTTAATGTCTTTTAGACGATTAATAGTCCTAAGAATATTTTGTACTTTGTTAGAAAAATATTTCTCGGCGGTCGGGTAATTTACCTTTACCTGCCAATGTTGCACTAATATTCTTCACTAACCTAATCATCAATGGCATTTAGCTGCAACCGACACTGATGTGAAATCTGTAGTGTCACTTGACCGCCAACTGTAAAAAAAAAATTTAATAAAAAGTGCATCTCAAAACGTAAATATTTTCAATGCATCTGACCAAAAAAAAAAAACACGCAACTTATGTGATGTGCTCCGGAGCACTTCTTTTTCGCGATAGTATATTTTACGAAATCGTTTTAAATAATAGACGCTCAGGTTAAGACAAAGAAAACGCAACTTATGTAATGTGCCCCAACTGTGGCATCATTTTAAATAATAACGCTTTGGACTATTATAAGTACCCAAAAATGCGCGTAGGTACATGTGTTATAACCGACCGTTTTTATATGTACGTAATATTAGGAGCAATCTTGACCCCCAAGATTTTTTACCTCAATACGCACGCACGCAGAACAGTTCACAAGACTTTCAAGGAATTGCAATAAAAGTTATTGTACAACCACCAAAAACCACAAATATCAAAAAACCATACACCTCATGCACCCGAAAAGTAAAGTTTACTTACCAAAATTTGCACAAGCTTTTATTACAGTCATTTAGAAAGCTACTATTCGAGATCACGCAAGTTGACTGTAGAGAAATGCTCATTCTCTAGCAGCTCTAGAGGTTCGTCGGGTAGGAGGCCGCTACTCAGTATCATGTCGGAGGGTACGTCGAGGCTCTGTATCGCTTCCTCGAGGAGATGATCGGTGCTCGGTGTTTTTAATGTTTGAGATGTATACGGAAGGGCACGCGCACACGCCTTCTCTGTCTTCGAATGGGTAGTCTTCATGTGTATAGACAGCTCCGACTTGCCGCCGAAATTTACATTGCAATCTGAAAAGCAACAAATTCAATTGACTGGCCACATTTTGCGTGAAGAGTAATATAGTGAGACGACCACATAAAAAAGTAAATCGAAACAAGTAAAAAGGTTTTCGCCCCAAGGCGAATCATTTCGGCGCATTGATCAGTACTTCCCATAACTATGTGCGCTATCTTTTTCTTTACTAAAGGCATCTATGATTCAAATTACCTAGAAATATCTCCATAAATAAGCAAGTTGACGTCGCGCATGCGCACATTTAATTTTTATGGTACATGTGGTATGTTTGTTTTTACTAGAAGCGTGTATGTCTATGGTTAAAATTTCAAACCATAAATAAGGCAGTTGCATACGCAATTTTCCATAATGGGTTAGTATGTAAAGTTTCCGAGGGCATCTAAATTTGGCAGTCCCCGCAGTCATACCATGACTGTCGTAGGGTTACACAGACGGCTGTTGATGTGACCTGAAACGTCTGTACCTAGGGAGTGCCACCCATACGATACAGTACAAAGTGTAGATTTTTTAATAACAGCAAACTAGCCCGTGAAGCATACATGCCATGTTAATTAATATTAGCTACACATATACAGTGTGTTACCTATAAGTGGGTATGTAAAGAAATTTGGTGGTAGAGGGGATCAAAACAAGCACTTTTTCCAAATAAACCGAGGATCCAACGTGTTCCGTTTGGGCGCCACCCCCATAAAACTGGTGAAATTTGCATTTCTTCTTTGATTTTTTTTTCTCAGCAACAGTTTCAAAGATCGGTGGAATGTCTTTGAATAGGTTTTCGATTTTGCAAAATTCCTACCCCTAAATGGGCTTGCAAAAAAAATTCTGTTGGTATCTGGGGGTTTTTGAACATGCAAATCACGAATCTGAAATTACTTTTTGAAAAATGGCAAATATTCCACGAAATTTGTTGTGTACATAGGTACTTGATCAGTTAAGGAACAAAACTGTCGAACAGTTCTTTAAAATCACTTTTCAAACAAAAGTTATACTCATTTGAAGTTGAATTTGGAATAATGATTATTGATTGTGATGAAACTCTACTTAAATAACATTTGTAGACTTAATAATAATAATGGTTTTTATTGGTTAAATAATGGTTCCTACACCATAACTAGGGAATGTAATACAGGGATTGCGGGATCCCGAAATACTGGGATCCCGCAGCATTTTTGCGAGATTAATCCCGCACATAAATGGAGCGGGATCCCGCGGGATTTGCGGGACTGAGGAATTTGTCGACCAAGGGGACGACTCTGTTTACTTTGTTAATGAAACTGATAACGGCGAATTATTTTTTAAATAATTTAAACTTTTTTCGTTAAAAATGTACTATGATTTTTGAGGCACTTTAGAAGACTTTTTGTGCTTTACAGGTAAGGTTTTTTTGAGTTCTAAGTTAGGCCGAAGGTACTTTTTTGTTAAATATTGTGATAATTAGCGATTTATTTTAATACAGATGTTAACCGCACAGAATTGCTTATTTGCCAATTTATTTAAAGTTTTGCGAGATCCCGCAAATTCCGGGATCCCGCGGGATTAACATCTAAGAATCCCACAAATACCGGGATTTGAGATTTTGCTGCGGGATTGCATTCCCTACTAGAAACCAATTTCGAAAGAAAATTCAAAGGGCTGTAACTATTGAACTAGTAGCCCAATCTTGGAACTGTTTGAAATTATGGATTCTACAGGCCACATTCTATAAGAAAATTTTTTTTCCCGGTCGATCTTAGACAATTTTTTTTCGGAGCTCAAAACAAGGCAGTGTATAACCTTCCTTTTTTACCAAAAATCGACTACACCAAAATTTCTCGGGAAAACACTTTTTCTTATTAATTTGGGTACGTAGAATCCAAATCAATTCGTACTTTTTCGATCAGACTTCTCAATCAAAAGTTATAGACTAGAAACCAATTTCGAAAAAAAATTCAAAGGGCTGTAACTTTTGAACTAGTAGCCCAATCTAGGAACTGTTTGAAATTATGGATTCTACAGGCCACATTCTATAAGAAAATTTTTTTCCGGGTCGATCTGAGACAATTTTTTTTTCGGGCCTCAAAAAAAGCAGTGTATAACCTTCCTTTTTTACCAAAAATCGACTGCACCAAAATTTCTCGGGAAAACACTTTTTCTTATTAATTTTGTTGCGTAGAATCCAAAACAATTCGTACTTTTTCGATCAGACTTCTCAATCAAAAGTTATAGACTAGAAACCAATTTCGAAAGAAATTTCAAAGGGCTGTAACTTTTGAACTAGTAGCCCAATCTTGGAACTGTTTGAAATTATGGATTCTACAGGCCACATTCTAAAAGAAAAATTTTTTCCGGGTCGATCTGAAACAATTTTTTTTGAGGGCCTCAAAAAAAAGGCAGTGTATAACCTTCCTTTTTTACCTAAAATCGACTGGACCAAAATTTCTCGGGAAAACACTTTTTCTTATTAATTTTGGTGCGTAGAATCCAAAACAATTCGTACTTTTTCGATCAGACTTCTCAATAAAAAGTTATAGACTAGAAACTAGGGAATGCAATACCAATATCATGATCATATCGAATTTTTTAATGTCATTTAATCATAATATCGACTTAAACTAATTTCAGATTCATGATTGTCATTGTCATTGTCGGCAAAATCAGAATTTTTTTCACACTCCCATTTAGGGGTGCGCCCTTTCCCGGTAGGAATTTTGTAAACATTTTTGCTAAACCGGAAAGGGCATACCCCAAAACCTATTCAAAACTCTTATGGTTGCTGAGATAAAATTAAAGAAATGCAAATTTCACCACTTTTTTGAGGGTGGCTCCCAAACGAAACACGTTGGACCCTCGGTTTATTTGGAAAAAGTGCTTGTTTTGATCCCTCTACCACCCATTTTTTTTTACATACTTATATATTGTAAAACCTACATACCTATACAGGGCGTCTTAAATTGAGTAGGATAACATGGCTACCTTTGTTATTATTATACTTGCAGATTCGGTTAAATTGGCAAAGTTGTGTAGTTTTTGATGATGATAGATATTTCAGTGCGATATTTTGAAAAAAATAATTCCTTGCATAGATAATTGGAAAAAAATGAAAATAGACGTTTTTAAAAAGTTCAAATATTTGGTAACAAAGAGAGGTATCGAAAAAGTGCCAAATAAAAAATGCAAGGGACACCCCCTTACAAAAATTGAAGACCACACAAAAGACTATCGAGTAGAGAAATAAAATAGTGGGAGTTCCATTTGAAAAGAAATAGTTATCACTTTGAAATTCGGAAATTTAACTATTTTTTGTGTTCATTAAATATAAGTTCTTTAAAGAATGTGGGTGGGTAAATGCAAAAGAACAAGAAAACTATAAAAAAAAAGTAAAATTAAATATATATACTTCAAAATTTGTAGTCTACCTATATCATAATTTTATAATTAATTTTACATTAAATCCTGTATATATTGTTCTTTTTAATACAGTTTGTTGGAGTTCAAATGATCTTGTTCCTTAATTCTAGAGAAATCGCTATTTTAAACAAACATTGAATCAAACACTAAACTTCAATACTTATAAGGTACAATTTGTTATTAATTATCCACTGTCTCTTTAAGGTTTAAATTTTTGCGATCAACGATCAACCTTCAACCTTTTTTTGGATTTGAAGTGGATACTTTTGAAATTTGAAAACTGTTTTGGCATTTATTGTACATTTTTGTTAAAAATTAGCAGGTGAAATAAGCCCCCCTCCTTCCATCCATTGTGTTCGGTGAGTTGAGGGTACGTCACCATTTTTGCAAATATTAATTTAATCCAAAAAATCTGCAAATGTATTGGTTGGTTAAAAAATACAAAGAGAATGTGTAAAATTTCCAAACTATGTTTTTCATTTTAACAAACTGTCTGGAACAGAATATTCAGTCCTTGTCCTGAGGGATGTTCAAATATATTTTTATCATAGTGAATGAGGAAGAAATATCCAGTAGGTTACGTTTATGTGTCTCCTCTCTAGAAAATAACCATTCCTTAAACTTAATGACATGACCCAAATTCATACAAATATAACTACCAGTTGGCAATGCCACCAACTTTTTTTACATTTCAAACTCAACATTAGCCATGGTACCTGCATTTACATATCAATTGCATATTTAAGAATACCTCCAATAGTGATTTTGGTCGTCTCACTACACCAAACACCTAAAATAAACATCAACCTACCGTCACAATGAAACAACCTCTGCCCAATATGAGTAAGGGTGTGGTCCTTGAGATGTTGAGATCTTAGAAACGATTTGTTACACGAACCCATCGTGCAATGGAACTTTCTCTCGTTAGTATGCGAATTGAGATGACGTCTTAGCTTGCTAGCGGTAGGAAAGGCCCATTTGCACTCGTCGAAGGTGCACGTGAACGGACGCTGACCGGTATGCTGGCGAATGTGCTGCTTCAATCTGCACGGATGCGGAAAGACCCGTCCACAATTGGCCCAGTCGCAACGTACCTCCGATTCCTTATGCGAGTGTATACGTCTATGGGACATCAAGCTGGTACACAGGAAAAACACCTTCCCGCAATCTGCGACGGGACACTTATACGGCGCCTCTTCCTCCCCGTGAGTTTTCAGATGTAACTCGCGCGAACGCATAGTGTGAAATCGTTTATCACATGTCTTAACAGTACACGAAAAACCGGCGGGCGTCTCGTGTGAAGCCCGGCGATGGCAGTTGAGATTATAAATAGTTGTAAAGCTACGGTCACAACCTGGGTACGAACACACAAAATCCTTCCTTTTCTTATGAGTCTCTTGGTGACGCTTTAATTTGCCCATTGTAAAGAATGCCCATGTGCAATTTGGGTGGTTGCATTTGAACGGTTTATGATTTAGATGTTGCAAACTGTGCAGTTTCGCAACGTTTAACCGATAGAAGGCTCGCAGACATTCATCCAATGGGCAAAACCACACTCGTAATCCCATCTCACAATGTAAACAGGCCATATGAACATCCAAATCCGATGCCAATGGCGTTCTTTCTAACGATGTCACTGCCTGTCTACTAATGGGTTGGTTAATATGGCCCGGCTCATTTACGCATACATTATGATTAGGAAATTCAGTTTGATCGCCGTTATTCTCCAAGAGAACTTCAAACTTACCATTAATTTCTTTAATTTCTAAAGTTATACCGTCTTTGACTAATTTTTCTAAAATATCACATTTATTTGGTGCTAAAATCTTATCCTTTAAAAGGGAATTCATATTTCTATCCATTTTCCAACGTGTTTGGCAATTTTGTTCAAAGAACATACTTTCCGATGTTGATGTGTCTAATAAGTCTATGCTTCCCATTTCGCCTAATTGGTCGTGGTCCGTGTCGCTCAAATTAAGTAATATCGGTGAATCTCTTCTGCTAACTGCATTGAGTAATGGATCCGGCTTATTACTAATCAAGCTGTCACCACTTAATACGATGGCTTTGTCATCTTTATCCAGCCATGCGATGATATCTTCGGGTTGTTCGGGAATGGAATCGGGAATAAAAGTGGAGTCTTCGGTGGCCAAAAGTTCATCGGGGAAAAAAATGGAGGCGTCTAACGTGTGAATACCGAGTGGTGCAGTCATGTTGAAAGTTGTTAGACACATGGAAAGCTTCAACTATTCATTTTTGGGTTTGAATCACCACCGCCATTTTTCAAATTGCAGTCAACTGAAAACATTACAAATGTTATGGCGTATCTCACCTCCATGTGCCGTTAGTCTTTTAAATATCTACTTCAATTCTATCCAAACATAGTTTACTTACATTGAAGTGACGGTAAATTAAAACGCCGAGTTGCACTAACACTTCATGGCGTCGTTGGTCGTACTTGTTGTAAATTGGTAACGAATCCGTGTGTACTGTACCGTTATGGCTTCTTTCTACAGGGTGTTTGAAAAGAAAGAATAATTTGGCTTATTACTACTTATTACCTGAGCGGTGCCACCCTACCAGGCGCGTCCCCAGGTGGCGGTTAAGGTACTCGTGTTCGTTGTACGTCAACCATGTACGATGCACGAACCTGGGAGTTCAGGATTGTGCGGGGCATCTCGGCTTTACCGCTCGGACAAAGGTGTTTGATTGTCCTTATGAATCAAACTTCTTGGTACAAGATGGGTGGGGGCCACTTGCAACCATCGATCCTACGTGAACTTCATATCGCAGTGACGTTCTAACTCCCCTCCAAGTCAGGTCGAAGGTGGAGGCAGAGGAGAGGGGATATTTTTTTTCATCTTGTTCTAAGAACCTTGTGTTTAAAAAGTGGTTGAAAAAATTAAAAATTGAAGAGTAAGGAGGATCCGACCCGTGTGGTTAGGCACCCATCGGGCGCGTCCCCGGGGGTCGCGGATAGGGGAAAGCACATAAAGACACTTGAATGATCGTACGTGACTCGTACTTCGGTGTGGGTAGTGACGATTATAAGTGGCTCGTCGGGGCTAAAACCCAGACTGGTAGCGACGAAGGTCGTCGCCGCGGACCAACCTCCCAAGTCAAGGTGTTAGCGACCGTGCCGAGGACTGCGTGGCACTGGGGTGCAGTGTCGATAACGGTGCCCCTCGGATACCGGGCGACCTCCGAGTGGTGGCTCCTTTCCTTTGGGAAGGGGCTGGCAGCCAAGCCCTGGGCAAGCGGCTCTGCCCAGGTGAGACCGCATTTCCGCACTACTCGTGGGAATTGTATGGAATCTTCTAACAAAACCTTTCTGGGCTCCTCGTCAGAGGGGACCAACAAGCCGGGCCCTCAAAAGGGGTCCGGTAACGGGGCAGGCTCCTCGAAAGAGGGGACGGCTCCAACGCAGGGCCTTACCCAAGGACCTGGTGGTGGGTCAGCTCCTATTCGCAAGAAGAATAGGACTGGCGCACAGAAGGCGATGGCCAGGAAGCGCCGGCTCGAGGGTAAAACCTCGGGTCAAGCGGGCCCTGCGCCAAAGCCTAAGGCTGCGTCTGGGTCGTTGGCTCAGGGGGGCAACCCGACGTCAGGGACTAAGCGTCTCAGATCAGAGGGAAGCACTCCAGGGTCTGGCTCAAAGCAGCCTGAGAAGAAGCCTAGAGGTTCTGATGCACCCAAGGGTGCACCACGAACTTATGGGCAAGTCGCTGCGGCAGGGCTTAAGGTGGCCGTCGTTCCGGTTTCATACCCGGAGGTGGACATCTCTGAGGCTCAGTCGAGGTGCATTATGGCTGCATTGAATGCAGTCGTAGACCAGATGGAGGGAGGGCCCTTTCCTCGGCTGGCAGGGTTCCGCTGGAATCCGCAGGGTGCCATCGTGGCCGAATGCGAGGACCAGTGGACCTTGGACTGGTTGGAGAGGACCGTCCCTCTTATCCGGCCCTGGGATGGCGCGTCGCTGAAAGTTCAGAGGCACGTCCCGAGGGTAACCAAGGTGATGGCTGTGTTGTACGGGCTCCCGGATGACACGGACACCATTTTGAAGCGCCTCCAGAGGCAAAATCCTGGTTTCAGGACGAGTCTATGGAGGACGTTCTTTCGCAGGGAGGAGCCTGGTAGGATTCTCCTCGCATTTGGTGTCGATGAGACGTCCTATCAGGCACTCCAGCGACAGAACTTTCAGGCGCACGCGGGGGTCTCGCGCGTCACTTTTGTGACGAAAGCGGCTCATCATTGACTCCCGCCTGACCTGGAAAGGGCACATTGAGCGCATAAGCAAAAAGGCCACTGCGTGTCTATGGGCATGTAGAAGGGCTTTTGGTTGTACATGGGGCTTGAACCCTCGACTGGTATACTGGCTTTACACTGCAGTGATAAGGCCAATAATACTGTATGGTGCACTTGTATGGTGGCCTGCCATGCGCAGGGTAACCTACAGGAAGCAGCTAGGAAAGGTCCAGCGACTCGCCTGTCTGGGAGTCACTGGAGCCCTAAAAACCACGCCAACCTTGGCCATGGAGGCACTTCTGGGCCTAGAGCCTTTACACTTAGCTGTGGAGGCAGAGGCTCGGAAAGCTTCCATACGGCTAAACGATTGGGATGAATGGAAGGATCGAGGCAGCCTTGGGCACGGGCGGATCTGGGAGGAAACCCTCAGGACCGATCCCCTCCTCGCAAGGAGGGACGTGATCCGGGCTATCTTGCTAAGACCAAAGCGTTATAAAGTCATTCTCCCGGATAGGGAGCAGTGGCTGAACTCGGATTGCCCGTTCCTCAAACCTGAGGGGCTCGTGTGGTTTACAGACGGGTCCCAAACAGAAAGGGGAACGGGCATGGGTATATATGGTGATCGACCGAGAGCCAGCGTCAGCGTCTCCCTTGGTCAGCATAGCACCGTGTTTCAGGCAGAGATGTTAGCCATCATGACCTGTGCACAGGAAAACCTCCGTAGAGGTTACCGTAACAAGCATATATACATATGCAGTGATAGTCAGGCGGCGTTGAGGGCCCTGTCGGTAGACAGGTTCCGATCAGCTACGGCGCTTGATTGCAGGCGAACCCTAGATAGATTAGGTGAGTCTAATAGGGTAAGCTTGATATTTGGGTGCCAGCGCACTGCGGAATAGGGGGCAACGAAAGGGCGGACGAGTTGACTCGCGAAGGCAGTGGTGGAGTCTTCGTCGGGCCCGAGCCTACCCCAGGGATTGCTCCCTCCGTTTTTGGGGCCAGGATTAAAGATTGGTTGACCAGTCAATTCCAGGCTCAGTGGCAACAAGTAACCGGACTCCGGCAGTCCAAGGCCTTTCTAACAGGGCCCCTTGGCAAATCGGGGTCTTCTAAGCTTCTAAAACTGAATAGAAGCCAGATTAGGAAGATCACCGGTATCCTTACGGGACACTGGATGGTCAACTATCACCTGCATAACATTGGGCTCGCGGAGGAGTCCACGTGCAGGTTCTGTGGCGAGGCAGATGAAACTACCGAGCATGTGGTCTGTCACTGTGACGCTTTGATCAGGGACAGATATCAACTCCTTGGAGACAGATACCTGGAACCGAGGAGGGTGAAGCAACTTAGGCTAAACAGGGTCCTATCCTTCATTGAGAGGAACGCCGGGCTCTGAACTCAGTTGCGAAGAAAGGGGGTAGGCACAATATGGGCCTCTGATGTGCCTCTGCTGTCCGGTCGGGCTCCCCTGAGAATAGAATAGAATAGAATAGAAGGAGGATCCGAAAAATTGAGACATTTTCAGAATTCCATACAATCGTGAAAATACTCAAAAATCGGACAAATTCCAAAAAGAATAAGAAAACCCAAGAACCTGAAGAACACGAAGTACCTATCCAACGGGTTCAAATATTCTAAAAAAAATCCGAACAGTGTATGGAATTTCGAGAGTCTGATAGTGGTCATTTGGAAAAAGAATCGTCTACGCCGTTGTGGTCTCGTTAGTTGAAATTGTGTTATAAACAGGCAGAGTAAATCCGCAATTAAGGTAAATAATTGCGTTTTACCCTGTGATAAAATTTACCGGCATAGAAAAAGGTTGTTACTTTACCGATCCTCATCTCATTCATTAATAACGCTCTGTACAGTAGCCATTGAAATAATCGTTTTTCGTTAGAGCGTAAACCGGTGCTTAAATAATTGATAGCTTTACTGGTTATTAATGCCAGAAAACGTGGAAAATCGTCCGTTGTCAGACTTAAGGGTAGTGGATTTGCGGGGCGAATTGGAAAAACGGGGTTTGGATAAAACTGGTAGTAAGCAAGTGCTGATTGACAGACTCCAGAAGGTAACACCTTTTTTGTTTTGATAAGTCTGTTTTCCCTCAGCATTTTGTGACTAATTATTATAGCGAATATTAAAAGGAAATGTTAGAAAACGTTTCTGTAGGGTCTTTTTTATAGCATTTCCCCTGCAAGCTCATAGTTATGTTCTGATAGAAATCGTGTAACTGAACTCAATTTTCTAGGTAATGAAAGAGGAGACAGAGAAATCCAATTCGGAAGACGACAAGAAGATTGTTAAACAAGCTCCTGATTCATGTAATAATGCTATCCTGCTTTTGCATTTTACTCAATTGATGTTTTAGCCGAAGATACTGTAACGAACGAAAAAGAGAAGATAGAGGCTTCGCTCAAAGAGCAACCAAAGGAAGGTTTACAGACAAATTTAAAAGCAGCAGAGTCCACTTCAGAATCTTCTAGTTTTATTCAACTGACTTTAGAAGAAGGAGAAAGTTTTCAAGACGAGGAGGTTTGTATCTAAATTAATTTCTATAGTTTTCTCATGTACGTTATACAGGTTGAGCAGTCGGATTCCGTCCTCAAATCTGACATCACCATGAGTAAAAAGATCGAAGGTAAGATGCGTATGACTTATCGTTTATATCACATTCTCGGTTTATTATGTGTGACGGTATTCCATTATTTGTTGCGGTTTTTATTATTGGTACCTTAGGTAGTTTTATGTAATCCCTGCAACATCCGTTTTTATTATAAGATACATTTTTAATTAGGTGAGAGCCCCGCCGTATCGAAGGACCAATTGAAGGCAAAAGTGGTACCGCCTGAAACCAAGAAGGAGGACGCGAAACGACCAATCGGAGTTAGGTGTGTTTTTGGATTGAAAGATAAGCGATCTTGCAACAAATTAAAAAAAGTACCATTTTGGTGGAATTTTTTGGTTCACCTTGTACGCCTGCGGGGCGAATCTTTTATTATTTAGCGGCATTATAATAATTTTGTGGAATGCGCGCAATATAAACATTCGCTATCTTTCGACCTATCACAGTTTTAGTGGGATCACTTTTATGCTATTTATGCATCTCTTATCAGTTGCATAATATCAAACTGCAGGGCATTCAATTACCGGATTTTGATAAGAAACGCTATTAGCCAAGCTTCATTTACTTATTCATAAATATCTTTGTACAGTATAAATGTCGTAAAGTAGGCTCTGCCCATTTGCGTGAAATTTTTTGTTTAATTGGGGGTGCTGGCTTAACATTAGGCTGTACTGAACAGTTTTTACATTTTTTTCTATCTTACATGGGTAGTAAGATATATATGATCTGTAATTTTTTGTTCGGCAACCACATAGATCATAGAAGGTTGGAACTAATGGCATTACCTAGGTTTTTGGGTATGTGTTCCAGATTGACTGGGATTGGTTATTATTAATAGAGATTAGGTTAAATGGGCAAATGTGCCAATCAAAATTCCTTTTAGAAATCTTGAAAAACCAAGTCCGGTTAAAAAGGTCATGAAAAGAAACTGATAAGTGTTGATTCATAATAAATTAATCAGCTCCATAATTACAAAAAAGTCGCCCCTGTTGATGGGAAAAATATCAAAATAAAATTGCAGCAACTTGTGTGTGTTGTTGTATGTTTATCCTCTTTAAATGTCATTGTTAAAAATTGTGCCTTTGTGTGTGATGTATTGAACTGACGGAAAAGTTGATATAGATGATATAGTGCCTTCACAGATTAAGGAGTCAAGAGATTTATTTTCTGTGAAAATGAATATGACAGCCAGATTTATTTATTTATTATCCCTCTCTTGTTTCAAGAAGTTATTTTGGATGCATAAAATTAGGCGCCCTTCAGAAGAGATTTTGTCAGGGAAAAACCATACACGTAAATACCTATGTCTACTTCTTAATAAATATTACTGTAGGTTTCTATTTGAAAAAATGGAGTGACTCTTAAGGGACAGTTATGTGAATAGAATTACTAAATGGGTCCCTCCATATGAAGAATACTTTATATAAATCGTTTTTTGATATCCCCGCTAGTTTCTGCAATAATTGACTGTCTCATAATGGGACACCCTGTATGTAGATTTATTAAGTGACATTCAAATGTAAGATTATGGAACTGCTAGTCGTGACAATTACCCTCGCATTTACCGCTACACCCCAATTCATCTTGTTTATGCAGATGCAGTTAAAGTCCAATAAATCATCCCCTAAAACTGATATGCTTGCGTTAAAATAATCGTTATACTTAACCGATTTATTTTCGTTCTGTTGGAATTCTGTGTCTTTGTTATATTCTGACAATTTATATGTTCTTCCATAAATACCTCGAGGTTTTGACTTCACTTTTTTAATAACAATAATATAGACCAAGAGCTCACGTATAAAAAACCGCATGATAAGGTACCAATGGTTTAAGTATTGAAATGGATAGTGCGTAAGATAGTAAAATAATAACCGCTCGTCTGCCGCTGGTAAATGGTCACCTGTAAGCCCTATTATAAAATGAATTTTGAAAAAATCGACTCACAATCTCATTATTAGTACCAAGTTAAAATATGTCTTAAAACATGCGGAAACATCATTAGTTAACGAAACCAAATTGGCAGACGCGTTGGTTGGTAGCATTTTTGAGGCAGACGCAGTTAAATATTTTTATGTCATCTCGTTTCGGCGCATATACTGTAACGCGGTAGAGTGAGACGCGTGCTGCGGTACGCTTTATTAAGGAGTTAACACCAAGAAATTTAATCAGATTTGCATTTAATAATAAAACACGCATATGTACTCTTCTTAAGAAAAATTCCCATACAATAATAAAATATAATATAAATATTTTAATATTGTAGAAATCCAGGCGTCATTTTTGCCGAAAAAATTCCTAGGAAAGATTCTTTTTCGTCAATTGCTTCGTTTTATTATCATTAACAATACCATATAAAATTCGACCCGGAAGTATATTCTTTTCAGCCGATCCGAACATTAAAAAAATATATTTTAGCAAATTGTTATTACAGTGTCGAAGAGTTTATGCTTGCCCCATGGCCATAACCCTTCATTTATGTTAATACTGTTTGTTTTATATTTATTGATGTGTTTGTTTTATATTTTATTCATGTGTTTTGATTGTTATATACTTACTTTACATGTTAAATATCCAGACAAGACTAACAGTGTCAACTGAATGTAAAAATAAATATTATATTATATTATTAACATCATTAGTTAACAAAACCAAATTGGCAGCCGCGTTAGTTGGTATCATTTTTGGGGCAGACGCAATCAAAGACGTCGAAAATCACTTAGAATCGCGTGATTGAGTACCAATTTAAAAGTTGTATTAAAATGTGTGAAAAAATGTGCTTAATCGATACGTGAAGTGAAAATTTGAAAAGACGGTAGCATCTTCGTAGCAGACGCAGTTAAATATTTTGATGCCATCTCGTTTCGGCGCGTATACTGTAACGCGGTAAAGTCAGACGCTTGCGGTGTGGCGATCTAATAAGCACAGCTCACAACAACAGTGATATATCGTCCAAGCGTCAATCGAAAATTATGCGATTAATGAAATAATTCCTAGGGAAGATTTCTTTCGCTCATGTGAATATGACACTAGTTTGAATTTAATACCGTGATTCAAAACTTTTTCCGTTTAATAAATTTGATCTTAAGTTTTGAAGGTGTATTATAACTTCCACTATAATGAAGTGTTGAATTTGAAATTTGACCATTTAATTCACTGGAAATTAAATATTTTTCCTCTTCGATGTGGTTCTCTTCTTCAAACATTGTAATAGGGGATAAAAAATATGCATGTTTTTTTATGACGGATTTGGTAATCAAATTTATTGAGCCACATAAAAATTTGGACGAAGTCATAGTTGGAAGTTTTGAATTTTCATTGAAAATATGAGTCAATGGACGAGTCTCTAAATTCAAAATAAACGTTTGTCCATATACAGGTAATAATATAATTTCTTACAGCGAATACTATTGTTAAAGCTTCCCTGTTAAGTTGAGCGTACCTATAATGGTTTATTTCTAATGTTTTAATGATCTTAATCTGAATGCAATAGGTTTTTAACATAATCTAATTTAAATATGAGAAACCACAATCATAGAGTTAGGGGGCTGGAGTTGAATTTGAAGTCTAACTTTAGTACTTTGCATGTTAGAAGTCTTTAGAACTCTCCTATAGGCAATAATGTATGTCTTGATCCAGAATGTAACTCAAATTTTTGAAATGTATTGGCAAGTTTATCAAGGCTTCTTATTGACTTTTAGTTTTTCTAAAGTTCTCCTCTAATTTTTATCATGTTTCCCTCAAGCCCATCTCGATTACTTCTTAACAAATAAAATCGTCACTCACGTTCTAAGCGAGATTGAGAGTATTTTCCCATGGGTTCGGTTAAAAAAAAGTGTCCTTTTAAAGTTAGCGCATAAGATAATGCCCCTAATGGCACCGCCAAGACAAAGTATTCTGGTAGGTACCTTCGTTAAAACATATCTTGCTGAATGTTGCTCAAAGTTAATTCATTACTGAAAACTAAACAGACCTAACGTGAACTATGCACCTGCTAATGCACCAACAAACACGCGTAATAATAATTAAATTTTGAATGGATTGTGCCAGCAAAATAAATTCTCTTGGTATCTTGTGCTTCCAGACGTTTGTACCAAGTTACGCCCGGGGTGGGAAAGTTCTGATAAACTACCCTCCTTTCGCGGTACGCGAAACATCGCTGTATATTTCCAAAAATTTCTAATTAAGTAAAATACCCAATCCCTTACAACATACATTTTAACTTCATATTAATGGATGCAGCTGAAATTAAAAAAGAATACCTTAGAAGAATGTATGGGAGAGCGCTACAGAGGGTATCGCCACTTTTATGAGCACTTTTACTATCAGCTGGTCGCGGATTTATGGGATCTACAAAAAAAGGCAAATAGATAAAATGTTGAAAGTTTTGTTCTCTTTATTTTCATATACGACTATTTTTTACGTAAAAACGATAGTTATTGAGTTATTTTGCAATAAAACACAAAATGGTCCCATTTTTTTTGGACAAACTGAAAAAAATATACTTCCGGGTCGGATTTTTGGAAGAATTTTATATGGTATTGTTAATGACAATAAAACGAAGCAATTGACGAAAAAGAATCTTTCCTAGGAATTTTTTCGGCAAAAATGACGCCTGGATTTCTACAATATTAAAATATTTATATTATATTTTATTATTGTATGGGAATTTTTCTTAAGAAGAGTACATATGCGTGTTTTATTATTAAATGCAAATCTGATTAAATTTCTTGGTGTTAACTCCTTAATAAAGCGTACCGCAGCACGCGTCTCACTCTACCGCGTTACAGTATATGCGCCGAAACGAGATGACATGAAAATATTTAACTGCGTCTGCCTCAAAAATGCTACCAAACAACGCGTCTGCCAATTTGGTTTCGTTAACTAATGATGTTTCCGCATGTTTTAAGACATATTTCAACTTGGTACTAATAACGAGATTGTGAGTCGATTTTTTCAAAATTCATTTTATAATAGGGCTTACGGGTGACCACTTACCAGCGGCAGACGAGCGGTTATTATTTTACTATCTTACGCACTATCCATTTCAATACTTAAACCATTGGTACCTTATCATGCGGTTTTTTATACGCGAGCTCTTGGTCTAATATGTTTATTTGATCTCGATTACTGCAATTTACAGTATAGATCCTGGCAATAAAAATACACAAACAAAGACAATAAAAATAATAAAAACAGCGTTTATTAGATCTAAAGTTCGGCCCATTGTACTACTTTCCTGACTAGAGTCGTTCAACCCCTCAACGTCACTCATCACATGTTGCAAACATATCATTAATATGCGCAGGATGCGCAATATCAACGGTCTTATAGCGAAATCTTTCTGAGATTTGAGTGACAGCTGCTTAAGTTAAAGGCAAACATATCTCATATTGTAAAAATGTAAACATTAGATGTGCGCAGTGCCAACTTCCTTATTTATGAAGATATTTCTTTGAAATTTTGCCATAGATGCTTCTAATAAAGAAAAACATCGTATGTGGTACAAATCAAAAACTAAAAATGTCAATTGGCAAAGGCAAACGGATCGCACACAGTAAAAATTAATTACGCGCATGCGCAGAATGAAAAATGCCAACTTTTTACTTATGAAAGACGTTTCTAGTAAAAAAATATAAATAAAATTGATTCTACTAAAACGAGTTTTGCGTAACGTACGTTTACAATTTAAGTAACGAGCGCGATTAGTCCATAGGGTTGTTGAAATAAGTAAATAATGTAATACCATTTAGGTCTAAAACTCAAGAGAGTCGAAATCTCTGGATTACCAATATAACTAAAACGACTCGCGCGGCCGAACTGAAGCAGTTACTGTCCGCGCACGGAAAGGTACTAGGCGCCAAGGTTGTTATCAATGCGAAACATCCCGGAGCCCATTGTTACGGATATGTTACAATGGCATCTGTTAAAGATGCAGATAACTGTATTGCGAACTTGAATAATTCCGAATTGAATGGGATAGTTATTAAAATTGAAAAGGTGAGTTCCCATTGAACTTTGGGAAGATTATTGGTATTTTCCTGTTAGGAACGCCCTGATTCAAGCTTTGAAAAGTTCAAGAGCAAAGCGCTCAATGTGAAAAGTAAAACGCTCGAAAAAAATGGCAAAAAATGTGAGAATAAAGAGAGCGAACCCAATACAGAGGATCTTAAAAGCGAGGAACCAAAAACCCAGGCGGAGGACCCCGCGGAAAAACAACCCGATTCGACAAACAGGGTAAACAATGAATCTCGACCCTGATTTTGTTTACAACACTTACATTACAGAAATCACGGAGCCGTGATTTATCTCGTCATGGCTCCATCTCGAGCACAACAAAGAAAGATAGTTTATTAACTTACGAACAAATTAAGGTACCACTTTTGCTTAATCTGACCATCCATGTATTGACATAATTTCTTAGGAAAAACAAGAAAGGCAGAGATATCACAAAAGATTATTGCAAGAGGAAAATCGGCGACGTCGTGAGGAAGCCGCACGCCGTAGGGAATTTGAAAAAATTGAGCACGCTAAGATTGCTCGTTTAGAACGTGAACGAGAAAAGTTACACGACGAAAAGGAAAAGTTGCGTTCCGATAAGGAAAAACTTCGATATGAAAAGGAAAAGCTGGACCGGGAAAAGGATCGTATCATTAAATTAGAACGGGAGATTAATTTGGAAAAGTTAGAGTTAGAAAGAGAGAAGGCTCGCTTTCAGGAAGAACGGAGGGCTTTAAAACGATCTGCCGAATTTAGACGTAGCGACTCATTTGAGGACAGGAAACGAGTAACTACTGAGAGACATTTTGAGGATGGATCTACTCAAATACGTTTTGAGCCCCATGGGTAAGTTTACTCCTCATCCAGTAAAAAAAGTCAAAAACTGAAAATTACATGCAGATTGAGATTGCGAATAGTTGTGTTTTATCCCATTTTTAATTAAACATTTTTTTCTATAGCCGATACAACGAACATGAGCATGAGCACGGTCATGAACATAGCGGCGGATTTACTCAAGTACGTGAAGAACGACCCCGTCGTCCCATGCCAGAAATCAGGGATGATCCGCGTACCGCAGCACGCGCGATGAACGCTTCACAAGGTAATATTGCTTTTCTTAACGCCAGAGGTGTCGAATTTTTGTTTTTGTAGATGCTCAGCGGTTCGAGAGAAGTGCAGCAGCGAGTAATAATTGGCAACATGTAAAAGTTATTCCTGTCAGAAATTTTGCCTCCGATACGTGGAGGGCCAATACACCGCACAGGTACTGTATAAGGTGGCCGCTTGAATTTCAAATTAGGGAACACGCCCTCTAGCTCACAATCCAATAAGCTTACAAAATAAATTAATGCAAATTATGAAAAACACAAGTACATTTTTCAGCATTAACAAAAAAACGCCGGTGTAAAACCAAGTTGAGAATGAATGTGAACAGTGGCGCCACATAAAATTCATTGTTGGGACTTTCAAATATGGACACATGATATACACGTATAGTAGACTCGCGTTTATGTGAACATTTGCATATATGAACATTCAGTAATGTGACCAGTACATTTTGCAGGTTCAGACTTGCTTGAAACAATTTTTTTGAGTTAGTATTAACGAGAGTCTACTCACTACTGTATTGATATTGTATACAGGGAGACTCATATAGCCAATTCGTTAGGAGTTTTTAAACTGGCAGTTGAAATAGAAATTTGAAATTTGGTTTACAGCCATTTTGAATTGAAAGAAAATAATTTCACAATTGCACCGCTTTCGGAGGTGTTGCCATCATGTTTTTTTTAATAGAATAGAATTTTTAAAAACTTCTAACGAAAGGACTACGTGAATCATCCTGTATAGTGTAGATTTTGAATGTATGCGACGCAGTCTTTGAATGTTCATGTATAAAGATCCCCCTCCCCATTAATCATCTAGCAAGAAAGTAAACGTTGATAAACCTTATAACCCAAGTATTTATTAAGCTATTTCGGTTTAAAAAAATGCCCAAGATTTTGGCACAATTTATACTTGTTTAGTGTTGGGGGCCCGAGGATAACTCGACATACAGGGTGTTACGTATAAATACGTTAAAAAAATGCGCTTTATCCGCACATCAGTGCACAATTTATACTTGTTTAATTTTGGGGGCCCGAGGATGAATCTGTGGCTATTTTTGGATCAGGTTTACTAAAATTTGGGAAAATTTGAAGTCGATACCACAATATACAGGGTGTTACGTAAAAAATTGAGCAGTAGAGAGAGTTGAGCGAAATAAACTGAGGGTCCAACGTGTTTCATTTGAGAGTGGTAAAATTTATACGTCTTCTTTCATTTTTTCTTAGCAACCATGAGTTAGACTGGTGGCATTTCTTTTGAGTAGATTTTGGGATGTCTTTTCCGATTTTGCAAAAACAATTTCAAAATTCTTACCACGAAAAGGGGAGTGCGAAAAATATTCTGTTTCAACAAAATTTGGTATTGTACATACAGCCAAAAATGTGACTTTTGGATTTAGAATCGTTTCACAGTTATCCTATTTACTTTTGACATGCTTACTGGTACCTATTCTATATGGATATTACTTCTAAAGGGCTCACTTAAACCCCTTATATGCTACATTAGCCAAGACATAAACCACGATCAAGTTACTATCTTGAAGGGAACGATCACAGCTCAGAACCACTTTAGACAAGAACACCAACCTTTTAGGGATTTTATCATAGTATGATTTTGAATTGGCCATACATTAACTGTGACCTAGAAGGTAAAAATCACAACTGCTTTAGCTTATAACGGGCGATCAAAAATGAGTGGCGGTCTTCTTTGGAATTTCAAATTAAGTACGATTTCCCATGTAAAAAAAGATTCCAAAGTTGACACCACAACTCATTTTTGATCGCTTAGTACAATAATCCTACTGAACATTGCGTATTATATGGCTTCATTCATTTTGAATTTCATGCAATTCGGTTCATAACTAACGGAGATGTCAAAAAGGTCTTCCTTATTTTTGGGCCTACAATGCCAATTAATTAATGCCTTAATAACTGAGGAACGGAATGTGATTTGTTAGGCGATTTTTAAGATGATTAAGGTGGTGGAGACGAAAACGCACAGTCACATATGTTCATATTTTTAGTCAAAACCGCATGACACATTCCCCAATTCTAGATGCGCCACCCTGTATATTTCTTCCTTCATTTGTACTTCCCATTAGCCGCTATGCGTTATTTACAGGACTATCGTAGAAAGAAAGACTGCAATGGCTTCATATGCAGGGCGAATCAGCTGAACATTGACCCCTAGGCTATAATAGTCTGTTTTTTTGTTAATTTTTTAACAATTAAAAAAATGTGCTATTGTTTGCATTTTGTACGTCAGTCCGCACCCTTTTCTAACGGTTTTTAACTACTTGTAGGGGAATTGTCCTAGAGTCCTGGAATTTTCCTTGAAGGTGTGTCAGAGGGCCATGAAATTTTGTTGTCTTTAAGAGTGACACCCGAAAGAAATAATTCCAATCATTGAGTGAGGGGGGGGGGGGCCCAAGCAGACTGCCACCCCATACTTTTAGATGTCTAGTGATTTAGTTTGTGCTTGCGATGTGAAAAGCTACACTTCTTAAATTGATTCACAATGGGGGGGGGGGGGCTAGGTCCAAAAGGGTCAATTTCACATAACATTATACTGTTGCTAATTTCTAAATGCGATTCGATGCCCCGCTTATTCATTTGTTGTGTTTAGGTGGACAGCAGGAAGTATGCATGCGACTTCAACGCCGTCCGCACCTGGATTCCAAGGCAGTTCGGCGGGAAATGTAGGTCCATCCTGTCCTCCCCCGCCCGTCATCAATAACTACGGTGCTAGATTTGAGTATAAACCGACGACTACTATGCGGAAGTACTAAACGTATTAGTTTGATAAAGCATGGGCTGTGTGAAATCTGAAAGTTTTTACACCTAAGTACATATTTGTAATGTATTGTGGATTTATGTGCACTTCATGCATTTTACTGTAATATGTGTTTATAATATTGTTAAGTCATTTACTTTTTTTTATAAATCTGTATTTCCCTATTTTTTTAGTTTATGTAATTAAATAGTTATTGGTTTAATATAATAAAAGTTTTCTGGTAAAGTAGTTGACTACTTGCACAAGCTACCTCGAATTACTAATCTTATCTACTTCTACATAAAAGTAGTGGCGTAGCTAGTAGTCCTGCTGTCTTAATGCGAGGAGGAGGGGAGACGCTCACTGTTTGTGGTCATGGCGCCAAAGAGTATCCGCAGGCATTTACACACGTGTATCACACGTTTTTTTTAATTATACCTTGCATACACGTGATGTGACGCATCTGAATAATATACGCGTGCTATAAACGTTCGTTGGTTCCAAAAAGGGCCCATTATAATGCAGCTACAGAGCTGGGCAGTATTCGATTTTGTAAATACTTTTTAGTATTCAAATCCTTTAAAGTATTCAAATACTTTGTAATTAAATACTTTTATGGAAGCAATTTGTTTTTGTAACTCAAATACTTTCACAAATATTTAGTATTCGAATACTTCGCAGTTCGCAAAGTATTTGAATAATTAACCTTCCTTTTTTTTACCAAAAATCGACAACTACAAAATTTCTCGGGAAAACACTTTTTCTTATTAACAGCCCTTTGAATTTTCTTTCGAAATTGGATTCTCGTCTATAACTTTTGATTGAGAAGTCTGATCGAAAAAGTACGAATTGTTTTGGATTCTACGCACCAAAATTAATAAGAAAAAGTGTTTCCCCGAGAAATTTTGGTGTAGTCGATTTTTGGTAAAAAAAGGATCAAGGTTATACACTGCCCTTTTTTGAGGCCGGAAAAAAAAATTGTCTGAGATCGACCAAGAAAAAACATTTTCTTATAGAATTTGGCCCATAGAATCCATAATTTCAAACAGTTCCAAGATTGGGCTACTAGATCAAGAGTTACAGCCCTTTGAATTTTTTTTCGAAATTTGTTTCTTGTCCATAACTATATTGAAAGGTCTAATCGAAAAAGTACGATTGTTTTGGATTCTACGCACCAAAATTAATAAGAAAAGGTGTTTTCCCGATAAATTTTGGTGTAGTCGATTTTTGGTGAAAAAGGAAGGTTATACACTGCCTTTTTTTGAACCCTGAAGAAAAAATTGTCTCGGATCGACCCAGAAAAAAAATTTTCTTATAGAATGTGGCCTGTAGAATCCATAATTTCAAACAGTGCCAAGATTGGGCTACTAGTTCAAAAGTTACAGCCCTTTGAATTTTCTTTCGAAATTGGTTTCTAGTCCATAACCTTTGATTGCGAAGTCTAATCGAAAAGTACGAATTGTTTTGGATTCTACGCACCAAAATTAATAAGAAAAAGTGTTTTCTCGAGAAATTTTGGTGCAGTCGATTTTTGGTAAAAAAGGAAGGTTAACACTGCCTTTTTTTGAGCCTCCAAAAAAAAATTGTCTCAGATCGACCCGGAAAAAAAATTTTCTTATAGAATGTGGCCTGTAGAATCCATAATTTCAACAGTTCCAAGATTGGGCTACTAGTTCAAAAGTTACAGCCCTTTGAATTTTCTTTCGAAATTGGTTTCTAGTCTATAACTTTTTATTGAGAAGTCTGATCGATAAAGTACCAATTGTTTTGGATTCTACGCACCAAAATTAATAAGAAAAAGTGTTTTCCCGAGAAATTTCGGTGTAGTCGATTTCTGGTGAAAAAGGAAGGTTATACACTGCCTTTTTTTAAGCCCCGAAGAAAAAATTGTCTCAGATCGACCCAGAAAAAAAATTTTCTTATAGAATGTGGCCTAGTTCAAAAGTTACAGCCCTTTGAATTTTTTTTCGAAATTGGTGTTTAACTCCATAACTTTTGATTGAGAAGTCTGATCGAAAAAGTACGAATCGTTTTGGATTCTACGCACCAAAATTAATAAGAAAAAGTGTTTTCTCCAGAAATTTTGCAGTAGTCGATTTTTGATAAAAACGGAAGGTTAAGTATTTAAATACTATGCGAAGTATTTGAATACTTCTCAAAGTATTCAAATACCTTGCGTAGTATTCGAATACTTTACGAAGTATCCAAATACTTTACGAAGTATCCAAATACTTTGCGAAGTATTCGAATACTTTACGAAGTATCCAAATACTTTGCGAAGTATTCGAATACTAAATATTTGTGAAAGTATTTGAGTTACAAATACAAATACTGCTTCCATAAAAGTATTTAATTACAAAGTATTTGAATACTTTAAAGGATTTGAATACTAAAAGGTATTTACAAAATCGAATACTGCCCAGCTCTGGTTACTGAGGCTCTGTTGTAGGCTTCAGCAACCGCGTCTATTAGGCGGATGACTTGTAGGGTTGTAGAGCGTTGTCTGCGAAACTCGAACTACTCAGGTCTCGTACGTTTGGATGCAGTACCTTTTCGAAGACCTTCCCCAAGACTGGTAGGAGGATATGGGTCTGTAGCTCTGGGGTTCGGCGAGAGCTTTCTTGTCTTCTCACTATCGCCTTCTTCTGCAGATAGTTGGGAACTTCGGTAGGCGCGTGACGTTCTTTAGCGCTCGAGAGTTATGCGCCGTCAGCTCCTGGTGCTTTTCGGGGTCTTTGCTGGAGTAGCAGAATTATGCGTCAATTAAATTACCTACCATACGTTAGTAATGACAATTCCTTCTATTGTCCAATATAGAGAACTTGTTTATTACTTTCTCATCAATGGATGAATAAAAGAAATGCACTATTGACACTAATACATGATCGTTTGGTGTGGATCACATATACATTAGGATGTATTCATACTTAACTTTGATCCCTACACATTATAACATGATGTATTCATTATTACCACATCAAATTATACATATAAAGAAGTATTTCATACCTTATAGTGTATTCAACACAAAAACAAATGAGTTTGGCAAAATACAATGTTACCATATTTTATTTATTACTCTATTGACTTTATCGTTACTCATTATTTCTCTCAGTGTAATGAAGTACACAGCAACCAATTATAAACGCTAGGGTTTATGTGTTTTGTAGTTTTGTTTATTTATACTGCCCAAATACCGTCTGTTTTTTTATGGTAGGCGCTGAAATTTAAAAAATGTATCGTTCTGACATCTAACGTTAGTTTGCTGAATAGAAGTCTAGGGCGTGAGATGCAGTTTTCTGTCATAGGATGGCGGCATCTGTGCGAATATAATGCAACATCATGATGGTAATCCCTGCATTTATTGGAAACAAGCAGAACGATGTTCAAGAAAACAACGTGAGATGTCAGAACGAAAAATTTGGCATGAGAACTCTTATTTAGGTGTAACATGGGCTCGACTGAACACCAAGCTAATCATTTACAGACGAAACTAAATCCATGACCATTCCCGATCTCCTGGAATAATAACACGAAGCAAGAAGTCGGGTCTAAATATATATCGCCGTTCTGCCCATGGGTGATATAATTAAGCAGTTTCTCCTTATAGAAATTGCCCATCAGACTAGAAATTTGTCATCGAATTCCGTCATGCTAAATTTTACTTCATTTAGACAATTTTCCATATCACAGATATAAAATCCTGAATGTAGCTTTTTTACATCCTCTTTTTCCGCTATAAATGGTTGCCTGGCTAACATTTTGATCTCTGAACAAGTTTACAATTTCACTTTTGGGTAACTGTCTAACTAAGGTATAGATATTCTTGTGAATTTCAACATTTTGAACTTAATTATTGTAGCAATTTGACGTTTTCTAATGACAACAATCCACGGTTTGTTTACCTGCTTCATGATACCTAGATCATACATCAAAATCAGATATAAATTTTAGGCCCATTAAGTTTTTACGTCCGAATAGACCTGGCCTTACAAAGGATTACCTAGCTATATCTATCTATTTGCTCTTTTAAGACTGACTGTAAATTGTAATTGCTTGCAAATGAAAGCTCTTAAAAGGTAAACAGTTCGTAATTCTTGTATAAAACTTAATTTGAAGTAAGTAAAGGGAAACAGTGGAGGGGCTACGTCCAAGTGGACCGGGCTGCCCCAACGATTATATTTATATTTGCTCTTGTAAGAATGGCGCTCAAAAATTGCAATTACCTAGCTACTTATAAATTAAAGCTTTTAAATAGCTTGTAATTCCAGTACAAAATTTAATATGAAAGAAGTAATGGCAATCAGAAGAGGGGGGGGGGGGGGCATCCCAATAATAAATTTTAGATTCTTAGTGATTTAAACGAGTTCTAAAATTTTGTGTTTGCGATACGAAAAGCTCCTAAATAACTAATAAATTGGATGCAATTCAATAGGGGAAGGAGGGTTAGGTCTAGCAGGGTTTCCTTTGCCGCTTTCGCACGTTTTTTCCTAATGCACAATGTAGCACATAAAACAATGCAGGCCACAAAAAATCATTTACAGACGATAGCCTCCCCTATTTAATTATTGCATTTGCGATATCGTTTACTTGGTTTGTTCTTTTCCAAGAGTAAAGTATTGGTATGGGGCCACAGAGGACAGGCATACACTGTTAAATTTAGGTCGCAATGAAGGGAGGGGTCGTTTTGCGTCTGACATGAGCGGAGAAAAGTAGAATCCAATAATAAGTATACTCGAATACTAACAAATATGAATATCTACAGGGTCCTTGTGGTTGATTCGCCTCTGCTCTACCTACCTAATTCCTGTGCAAATTTTTGTTGAACTCTGCTAGCGACAGGAAAATTTCATTGTCGGGAGAGGTCGTTGGCAATCCTGTTGACCACACACACAAGGGGCTACAATACTGTATTGATTTTCTCTCCCTATCAAAGCGTTACAGAACGGCTGCGTTTCCTGATCATGTAGGACCTCAAAATCCACATTACAGTGTTAGTATTTTTAAAATTTGCGAATGCGATGGTAAAATTAACGTATTTTGTTGCCAGTTAATGGGGTTGCATTCCATTGTTAAAATCGTAAATTAATAATCGTATTAAAATTTATTATCGCAATATCTTTTTTATAATTCAGATCTTATCCGAGTATAAAATACATAATCAAAATGCAGGGATTCAGAAATTGCCAAGAGGATATTACAGATCACAATTTTTAAGATCCTGTCAACTTCTCAACCATTGCAATAATATATAATATATAGTTTTTATAAATTTCTATATTACAATACTGCAGTCACACAAATAAAAGACGTATAAACACAACAAAAAAGTTAAAAACAAAGATGAACACACAAGCACATAGCACTTTTAAAATTAATGTTTAAATGTATAGAAAGATCACAGTGCTGTTGCTTGGGTAATTGCACTAACTAACTGGCATTACCAGATAAAAGACCATTAAGTTGCTTTGGTGTAAAACAAAATTGCATAAACGCCTATATAAGCCAGATTGCGTGTCTAAAGCTATACAAATACACGTCAGCCGCACAATCAAAAAAAATTACTAACTATAGGATCTGTTTGTACATAGGTAAAGGTATAAAACTCTGAAAAATCAATCTTAAATTCTACTATACAATCCCAAAACGTTAAAAGTAATCCTAAATTTGTACTATAAGTGGGTGAACTAGTACTGCTTCTTATTTGGCACACACTAAACAGTAAACGTTAACCTAAAGCAAGGTACAATTTTGAAACATTTAAATTAGGGAAAACCTAAACGCTTAAAGCTAAATTCCTTGTTTGAGCGGAATTTGTCGGCATTCCAAGTTTTTGACTTCGCCCGAAAATGCCTAAGGTCGTTCGAGTGATTAGAGTCTAACATAGGCAAGTACGCTTTGGGGACGCATAATTCCGAATACTGCTCAAAGAAACCTTTGTACCCTCCCTCCAATAAATAAATTTCAGGATAGTGAAGCGTGGGGTAGGAGTCTGTGTTACGTAGGCGATCGCACTTTCTTAAAAAGCGATATCTAAAACAAAAAAATGAATTAAAAACTCTTCGCGCACGCGACGGTTACTTACAAATTTGGTCCACGCTCACTGGAAAATTCGCAATGGAACACCAAAATATTTCGTGACGCTTTGTCTGAAGATGATAGGGGTGTATCCAGTAAATGTGACACTACTTGTTCCTTTGTGAATAAGTTTGTTGCGCGTTCGATGTGACCGCCGTTGAATTCGTAGGGATAACGACAGTCGATAACTTTGAAGGAATTAACGACACCTCGATATTCGCCCCTGATTAGTGCGGCTAAGGTTTGGGGGGTGATGGACTTCAAATCTTGATGACGACCCGTTGTGAGCGGTAAGCAGAATACTGTGCTGAAGTCACCAATTAGGTCTGGTTCGGTTGATGATCGATGCAAGGCGTACTTGATGCTTTCTTCTGTTGCGGACATGCTTCGGCCAAATATTGGTCGTTGGGGCAGAATTACTGAGGTTTCCATTTCCGGTACGGAACAAGTATTTTCAACAACTTTAGTTCGTTTATTTTGAATTGGGCTTTTAAACACAATCGGTGGTTCTGGTCTTTTAAATGATCTAAAATCGACGTCGTCTTTTTTGAACAAGCAGGATCGTACACGGCTGCTGTTGGGAGTGCGCCCGGAATTATCGTACGAAATCGCCCGTCGAAGCTGGGCCCTGTGGGATACGTTGAAATCTGGCGAAATTTCTCTTGAATTCACCGCTGTGGAAAATGGGTCGTTTAGTAGGCTATTGAAGTCGGTGGGAAGTTGAGTGTTTTCGTCCATTGGTTTCTCTAAGTCTACGAGCTCCAAAAATTCGTCGTCCATCGAATCCATCGAGCCAAACGATAGGCTGCACGGTTTCATCGGTGAACATTGTCGCGGCGTTACGCCCAAAGAGCGTGCGAATTCGAAGAATTTGGATTCATCTGACGTACAACTGGCTTCGTAACCCGAATCTTGAGAATTCTGATCGTGCTCTTTCAAAGGAAATCTTTGATGATCACATCGATCGAGGGAGTATCTCCCGCAATTTGGCCGATCTGGACTAGAACTACTGTACAGAGATAAGTCTGATTCATTTTTTAATGGGCTATTGCAAAAGGTTTGCTGGACGTTTTCTTTTCCCGAGCAGGAGTCGTGATGAAATGCACTGCAGCAGTTTTCCGATACTTGGCAACCCTCTTTAACCATACTGTAACAAAATTGTCCTTTTAAAATTTGCGCTAAAATGCTGACACGCGGAATTTCAACAATCGAAAACGAACGTTAAAAGTAACTATGTTCACCTTGACTTAGCGCAGGTGAGTTTCCCGCTCAAAATCCGCATGCCTAGGTAACATGAGGTTACCGGTCAATGCGATTACCAATTTTTGAAATTATTTATGTATAAATTTTAGGCTGGGATTTCGTAATGAAGTTATCATATCTGATATCACTAGACCTTAACATTCGAAACACAAAAGAAAAGCGAAATGAAAAAATGTTTAATTTTTCCCGTGCCCAAAAAAATTATGCGGGAATAAGTAACTCTCTTTACGACGATTAAAATTTTAATTATTTTGGAAAATTTGCGAATGGGACTAAGTCGATGTCCGTAGGTAAATGTTTATCAATAAAAAACATCTGTATTGACTTACCTTGAACATTCACATAATTCACAGGCACCGTTTCCAGAATCCCAGAACATTTTGAAATTTTTTTGCAAAAAAACTTAATTTTAAAAACTTAATCCGACATAACTTTCCTGTAGGAACGCAATAATGTCCAGAAAATATAAACAATTATTACACTATAATAAATTTATAACACGCTCAACTGGAAAACGATTTACTAACACACGCCGTCCACACATACACACCAAACGAGGTATACACAAGCACTGAGTTTCAATTCAATTTACTAAAGCTTCTACTAATACGTTTTCCCTCCACTTCTCTTTTAGATATAGGTACCAGTAGTGGGGACACCCCTTAACTAGTCTTTGTAAGGGTGCAAAATGTGCATGTATGAAGAATAAAATGTCTAGTTATGTAGGTAATGCACGGGAACATATGCAGTATTCAAGTACATTAACCTCCCTTTATACTGTAATTTTTAATCGTGCCAAAAGAAAGTTTCCCGCCGATTTCGTCCTTTAAGGACCTCGGCGAACAAAAGCCGTATTGAACACCGTAAGCCTCCTTTCTCTCAAATAAACCTGAAATCACCAAAAATCGAATGCTCATCTTTCCGGTTGAAATGTTTGCTCCAGTTTTTCTAGTAGCACCCGCACACATTTAAATAAACGATAAAAAATGTATTACACAAACTGCAAATGAATCATCCACCATAGTCCTTTATGATCCTTGCGCTCAACAGATATCGATCAAATAAGAAAAAGTCTCCATTAAGGAACTTGTAAATATGCAGCGCGAAAAGAGCAGGATTGGTGACTCCGAAACGTCTTTCTGTCCCTAACCATTGTTTAAATTTAAACACCCGGGGAGTAAATTTCTATACCTATTTGGTTTTAGGAAAACACAAGAAAATTCGCCTCAAATTCCCCCCCGCAATATTTGCATGCGAAAGCATTCGCCCGCGGAAGATTTCCCCTTGGATAGTTTACTTGGACAATTTGCCACCAGCTCACCGAAGATATTGACCCTCGATCCTCAAGAAGATTGGCTCTCAGGTAAATTCGCCACCGGAATAATCACTTCCGGAAAATTTGCTACGGAAAGATTCTTCCTTGTCGGAAAATTCAGGTCAGAAAATTTGCTCTCGAATCATTAACGTCTTCGGAAGATTCGTCTTTCGATAATTCTCTCCTGGAAGACTCGCCCAATACATTCGGCTCAGAAGATTCGCCTATACGAAATACGCAAATTAATCTCTGGGAAACTCCGCGCTCGGAAGATTCCCCACGGAAAAATCGTCCCCTTTTAGGAGTTTAGGAGGGCAGCACTGTCGAACGGTTTCTTCGTAAGAAATTTGCCCCGAAATATTCGCTTTCGGAACATTCGTCTCCGGAAGATTCGCTCTCGGAAGGTCCGCACCCGGTGGATTAGTTCTTGTATAATTGACTCTCTGAAGATTGGTCCCGGGTACATTTGCTTCAGAAACATTCATCCCAAAAAAAATTTCCCCTAGATAAATTCGCCACCGGAGTATTTGCGTATTGAAAAATGCTCCCAGAAGATTCGCCACAGAATATTCGCCTGAGAAAATTCTTCCACAGGTAAATTCTAGGGTAAATTCGCCTCCAGAATATGCAGTCCCACTCGGAATATTCGTCCTCTGGAAGATTCGCTTCAGGACATTCGTTTCCCCAAATATTCTCCCTCACGAACATTATAGCGTAGAGTTTAATTTAAGGGACTGTAGTTTTCGATTGGAAACTCTAACTTGAAGGGTGCGTTTCGATCTGAGACAATTTTTTTTTCGGGCCTCTAAAAAGGCAATGTGTATAACCTTCCTTTTTTACCAAAAACCGACTACACCAAAATTTCTCGGGAAAACATCTTTTTCTTATTAATTTTGGTGCATAGAATCCAAAACAATTCGTACTTTTTCGATTGGATTCTTCAATCAAAAGTTATAGACTAGAAACCAATTTCGAAAGAAAATTCAAAGGGCTGTAACTTTTGAAATAGTAGCCCAATCTTGGAACTGTTTGAAATTATGGATTCTACATGCCACATTCTATAAGAAAATTTTTTTTCTGGGTTGATCTGAGACAATTTTTTCTTCGGGGCTCAAAAAAAGGCAGTGTATTATAACCTTCCTTTTTCACCAAAAATCGACTACACCGAAATTTCTCGGGAAAACACTTTTTATTATTAATTTTGGTGCGTAGAATCCAAAACAATTCGTACTTTTTCGATCAGACTTCTCAATCAAAAGTTATAGACTAGAAACCAATTTCGAAAGAAAATTCAAAGGGCTGTAACTTTTAAACTAGTAGCCCAATCTTGGAACTGTTTGAAATTATGGATTCTCCAGGCCACATTCTATAAGAAATTTTTTTTTCTGGGTTGATCGGAGACAATTTTTTCTTCGGGGCTCAAAAAAAGGCAGTGTATAACCTTCATTTTTTACAAAAAATCGACTACACCAAAATTTCTCGGGAAAACACTTTTTCTTATTAATTTTGGTGCGTAGAATCCAAAACAATTCGCACGTTTTCGATTAGACCTCTCAATAAAAAGTTATGGACAAAAAACAAATTCCGAAAAAAAATTCAAAGGGCTGTAACTTTTGATCTAGTAGCCCAATCTTCAAACTGTTTGAAATTATGGACTCTCGATCGATCTCGATCTCAGACAATTTTTTTTCCGGCCTCAAAAAAAGGCAGTACTTTTAAGTTATTCAAATATTTGAGAACAATTTAGAAATGTTTAGGGAAAGTTTCCATTGTCACAAAATCAAATATAAAAATTCGATACATCTGAATACCGAACTCGATAGTTTACGTAACTTAAAAACAATAGGGACCTTTCTTATATCCTTAAAACCATGTGTACCAATTTTCAAAGCGATCGCACGTTTCTAAACAAGTTATCATGCACACGGACAAACGGATGGTCAAAAATGGATCTGTTCCAAAATCGCTAGGATTAATTTCAGAAAGGCGTCCGTATCATGTGCACTACGTCGATCGCTTTGAAAACTGGTACACGTATTCTTAAGAATATAACTGGTATAAGAAAGCTCCTGGTAGGTACCTCCTATATAATAATATAATAATAATAATAATACGCTTTTACTCCCCTTGTATATAACAATACAAATATAAAAAAAGCTAACCCCATACAAAGTATAACTTGAGTTTTTAAGTAGTATTAAGCCTTTTATCTAGTATACTATTTTAAATTTTTAATGTATTTGAGTGACAAGTATTTGAATACTTTTTACTGTTTTCGAATACTTTTCAAAGTATTCGAATACCTTTGATAGTATTCGAATACTTTTGAAAGTATTCGAATACATTCTAAAGTATTTGAATATTTATTTTTTAAAGTATTTGAATACTTTTCAATGTATCTGTATCTAGTATTCGCTTGTGCTGGACGTAAAAGTATTTAGTATTCAAATACCTTTGATTTGTGTAAAGTATTTAATATTTAGTATTCAAATACTTTTTGAATGTATTCTGCCCAGCTATTCAAACTGGTCATAGCCAGTACAATATCAAATGAGATGCGGTATCCATCGAACCGAATGTGACGTTCGGTTCTCAAGATTTCTGAAATAAAAGGGGTCTGTAATGAAAGATCGGCTTGAATTATATTCCCAAATTCATTCAAAAAGACGAAATTTTGCATCACTCGTCCTGTCCTACATTAAATGTGTAAGAGGCACCTTCCACATTAAAAAACTGTTGAAACTGATTTTCAGAGGTGATAGTTCCTGAGCAAAGTAATTGCAAAATGTGTCTATTTGCAGAAGATAAAATTTATGTCAGAATTAGGCGCTTTCCGTATAATTTGTTATCACACATTGAAATATTGTGATGATTAGTGAACCTTTTTCACTGGGTTAGGGTTTTCTTCAATTTTTGTTAGAAGTGGAATGCCCTTATCAAACAACATTCAAAATCACAACCTTTGTTGGTCTGAACGGCAGAGATAACACTGTTTTGCAAAGCTATGTATGTTTGATGTCCATAGAGCGATAAAGATGCAATTCATTCACATTTGCAAGTTATCAACAATTAAAAGAAATGAAATTCGATCTACTATCAAAAATCAAAAAGCCCAAAATAATCTGCTTGTCCTTATTATTATCGATGAAAAGTCAATAAACTATTATAATGCCTGCACTCAATATCTGATAGGTAATTAACACGCCATTGCTTATCAGAACAGAGAATTGGTTCAATTTACGTAATTGCTATTTTAACTAATTGGCCCTTCATAGTTTTTGATCGAGTAGTTTATAAATATTCACACGATTAAGCATCAGAGGTCACCGACATTAATTACACCAGCATGATCGTAATTGTTTATGTGACACATACTGCAATGTTTTAGACTAATATGAGTATAGCGCAATTATCTGTTTCACTTCAAAAATGCACAAAAGGCTAAATTACCTTAACGAATATTGATCCCGATCCAATAAATTTACGAGACTAGGAAAAATACAAAAGGTGCAATAAACATTCGCGCAAAAATAGGGGATCTCCGTGAGAATATCTGTTAAGGTCCCAGAGATTCAATGCTCCAAATCGGAACAAGCGGAGCGGAGGACAATCAAATTTGTGATACGTATTCTCTTAAAGACAGGTAAAAATTCAAAACCACTATGCCCCATTTGTTTATTATTTTAGTAAACACGCTTTGTGTATTATTTAGAGTTTCATTAATATATTAATAGTTGTTCCTTATCGAATGAGGAAAACCGCCAACAATGATAAACTCTGAATTTGTTTAAGTTTTGACATTCTGTATTGCGTTTTATAGTTTGAGTTGTAATTTTTAAACAAAAAGATTCAACCAAACACTAAGGGCGTAAAATGTACAAACCTTTCAACTGAATCTTATGCATATCAAAATTTAAAAACCAGCTAGCGAGGGGATTCGATTCGATGCAAAGGACTCACAATCACCTCGACGAATCCTTTTTATAAAAAAGGGATCGATTCATGACAATTTCTTGTATCTCAAATTGCATGGAGTGCAATTAGTTATGGAATGTCCACCCATTCCACTCCAGCGCATTGAGCTTATTTGATTAATATTTCTAATATTACTATCATCGATTACATGTATGTATTTGTTACTTTTTATCACACTAAAGAATTTTAAATCCTTGCCGTGTGTAAATTCAAGGATTTTTTAAACCGTAAGTCGAAGAATTATTTGCAAATTGTTATTATTTCACGAACTAACTTCCAAAAATTGACAGACGGCCTGCCAACTAG